CGATATTTCTGTGAAAAATTCGTTTTTTTAGAAAGAGAAAAAGCCTGTCTCCTCTGGACTTCCTTTAAGAATCATTGTCTTCTTCCAAAATAATAATAAGCTTCAAATGCTCAAGCATAAAGCTTGGGAAGTTTTTCAAAAGTCGGATTCTGTGAACAAGTTAGAAATTTTAAAAAAGGCCAATGGGGAGAATATGAACGAACTTAGAAAATTTTGATAAAGTAAAAAAAAAACAAAAAAACTTATAACAAAGAGTGTTCTATTTCAGACACTAACAAACTTAGCTTTGAAATAAAAATGACTCGGCTTCCGTCTACCCTTCTCTAGACTCTCTTCAACAGCCCACAGTCTCTCGCTTTCCCTATCGTCGTCTGCGTCTCGTTCTCTCTTTTTTCACGACGCAACTTGGAAGGAAAACGGCCGCGTTTTCAAACTGCCCCGCCTTTCTTTCCTCCTTCTGTTTGTTCGGTTGATTATCGATTATTTAGTGGCATCTTAAGTGATTTTTTTTTCTTAAGTGGAATGTATTCCTTAATTTCAGTATTTCTTACAGACAAGTTCTTACAGAACTTTCGAAAAGTTAGTTAATGTTTTAGTGGTTTTAATGACCGTTTTGTAATACTTCTTTGTTTTGAGGGCGTTTCTATGTTTTTATAAACTCTGTTTTTTTCTAATTAGAGGCTCAAGTTTTTTCCCCTTTTCGGGATTTCAAATAGCAGAGTAAATCTGGAATGTCCACAGCTTCTGGCTTTTTTTGCCATTTTTTTAAGATTCCTCTTATGATAATCAATTTCATAATAATGGAAAGAGGAACTTACTAGACCCTGGAAATCACTTCCTCACTTTTTTCCCAGTTTTTTTTCTACCCGAATCGTCAATCCTGTTGTAAAGGCTGTGAACGATTTGAAGGCAATTTCTGGACGGATTTTTTTCTGACCATCGTTTTTTTTAACTCAAAATCCGGCCCGATCCAACGTCCCACGTCATTTTTCCCACGTCCCATTTACGCTGAAAAGTGGGGATTTTTTGGGGCTGATTGATAAGGATTCACGGGAAATGACGAATCGTTTCGATCATTCTCTAGATTTCATCTGGGAGCTCGAATATTAGATCTTACACGTGTGTTAGGACTTTTTATAAAGTTTTTCAGAGTATAAGTCTGAAATAAACATTAAGTTCGCAACTTTTTCAGTCCAAAAGTTATGAGTTTGTTTTTGAGTTTTTTTACAGCTGTGATACTTGAAGATCATACATTTTCGGAATTTTGAGAAGAAATGTGTCAGAAAACCAGGAAAAAATATTTCTGAATCATCCGTTTAAATTTTTTGAAAACGAAACATAGAGTTTTTCATTGTACACCCAGTTTTTTTTTTCAAGAAAAATTAAAAGTTCAATCCGTTTTCCACTTGTAACTTATAACTCAAGACTGTGTTTGTCCAAATCCAAACCAATTCTTTTTTTCCTTCGACCTACCCCGTCGGATTTATTTGTCCTTCGAAAAAGTGTTGAACACCAGTTTGGCCGGTTTCTATTAACCATTTCATTTCTTTCTTTTTCTGTTTCCCAGCGCTTTGTACAACTTTTGGGTGAAACGTTCTTGTTGTAGAGTAATGTAGTTTGGAGTTTTCTATTGAACAAAAAGATATTTCTGAGCTTCTAAATTTACAGGATTGGACAGAAGAAAATTGAACTGAGTAAAGAGAAAATTAAACAAAAAAAAAAACACATTTTTCTAGCGAGAAGATTTTTCTGGAAATGTTCATAATTTTTTTATAATGATTTTTAGGCTTAATTAATGCCGGATAATTAGAGTTTTATTCTTTAAAGTACCAGGTAATGGTGAATGGATTAATTGACAGTCTTCAAGGATTCAAAGTTGAATTCCAAAAGAAAGAAAATGTTTATTTTGAGCCTTTTCCTTTTTCCTTTGAAAGTTAAAAATTTGAAGACAGTCTATCAATGATTGTGGTATGATAGTTATGTCAAAGTAACACGAACAGGCCCCTTTTTTCAATTTCGAATTCACTTTACCAAGTCACCCACTCCGCCTTCTAAATTTGACTGTCCAAGCAAATTTATCTCAACCGGCAATCAATCTATACCTCAACTTGAATAGAACTACTTCTTTTTTCTTCTTCCACTTGGTTGGAATCGGCGAACGTCGTTTTTTTTTTTCTGTTCGAGTGGCCGGATTAGCCCCATCCTTTCAAACCGTCTACCTCTTCCGAATGATTTCATTTTTTCGCCGAATTTTTGTTCTTTCTTTTGGACTCTGTCTAGTTGGGTAACTTTTGCTTTGAAGGAGCTTGGAAGGGCTGTTGTATTGAATTATCATTTGAAAAATTCGAATATAGAGAATATTCATGTTTAATGTGTGTTGGTTATTCTTTACAGTCGGAATCACTGGAAAAAAAAACACTTTTTTCAATGAAAATGCCTTTTTTTAGTCAAAGAGGATTTCCATTCTTTACAGCTAAAACTAAAGAGTAGAACAGTAGAAAAGGAACTTTTCTAAAGCACAACTTTAGAATTATTTGACGTCGTTTTTTTTTGTGTGGAATCGAAAAGTTTGTGGAATCGAAAAATTATCATCAATAAAACCCCATTTTTTCCACTCCAGCTATTTCTAGCCCCACGGAATTCATTGAATAGTTTTTCGCGGTGTCCTTGGTTATTTACATGCAAATCCGCGTGGTTTTCATTGTTTCTCCGAATCGATTTTCTCCATTTTTGTCCTTTTTTGGATCTCTATACAAATTTGCTTCATTTTTACTCGATTTTCTTGGAATTTGCTCAGAAAAAAAGCTTATTTTGTTGGCGGGAACTCCTCGTGATGATATATATGGCCACTGATAATGATAATCACTCGATTTGTCGGCTGGTTTGATTATTTGATAAGCAGTGAACGTGGCATCAGTGGCATTACACGACTTTTGCCTTCTTTTCCTGCTGTTTTCTTCGTTTTTAGGCTACCTTGAAGCTTCTTTATTTGGAGAAAAATGACCCCTTTTCCATTTTTTGGGGCTTACTTGAAGTTCCAAAAAGGTCATACTACTTTTTCTCATTTGATGTGTAATAATGAGTTGAAAATTTGCGAAAAGAGAAGAAATAATTCAATTTTTTGTAGAGAAACAGATGATTAGAAACTTTCGACTCTATTGCTTGAAATTGAGGGAAAGATTTTTTTTTTTCTCGGAAAAACACCCCTTGCTTCAGAGAAATTTTCGAAAAAGTCATCGAAATTTTTAACGAGATAGTTCCTGGCAGGATTCGCGCATTTTTGTGTGAAGAATTCGAAATTCTTTACATTAAAAGTATTAAAATAAGTGAAAAAAGATCTTTTTTAACTTTTGATCTTCGATTTTTCTTTTTCTGACCCCATTGTTCATTTCTTCTTTCAGTTTTTCGTATCATTGATGAATCGAGTTTCTTAAAAGCTTTTGAAACCTTTTTGATGTTTTAGTCTTCATTTTTTTTTATGCCGTACTGGATGGAATAATGGAATAATGCGATTAGGTGTTCGGAAAAGGGAAATGGACGGAAAAGACGCTTATTTTTGTTAGTTTTCAGGTTTAGTTGATTTTTGATGGCCTTTTGGAAGAAATCTCTTTTCAATTTTTACAAAGTCTGTCGCTTTTTTCATATTCACTGGTTCTTTCCAAAAATTGAGAAAAAAGTTTCCCCAAAAAAAAAAAAATCTGTTTGGAAAGATTGTAAATTTGTTGGTGAAAGTTTAGTTGAAAGAGTTCCGGGCTTATCTTCTGTTGAGTGACTGGAAAACATCGACCTTGAGATCCTCTTTTTCTTCTTTTTTACCTCGTCTTTCGGTTTTTCTTCTTTTTTTTTCTTTTCCTCACGCCCACTGAACCGAACGGCTGTTCGAAGCGACGCCAAAAAGTTTTGGTTTCTCGGCTTTTTTTTCTCTTTTTTTCATGTATTCTTTTGATGATTTTTTCTTTAAAATCTATTCAAAAATATACGAAAAGTTTTGAAAGGGGCCTGATTTTGAAAGGGTTAAAAGAAGTTTTTCTTGCATCTCATGGCTGTAAGTTTCAAATATTTAATAAGAACAACAAGACGGGTGGAAAGAGAAGATATAAATTTTATCAAAGATTCAATAAAAGTTAGTCAATGATAAGTTTCCAGAAAAATTCTTAGCCACGACTCATAACGTTAAATTGTCCCGACTTTTTCTTGGAAGATCGCCCTGGAAGATATGCAAAAGGCGATGAACGAACTATACTTGCCTAAGCCCAAATATGAAACGGCTTTATTCCAGACGATGTTTACTCAAACAAAACATATAAACCATGAAGGACAGACGTGAACTGATGTATTGTATGTGTAAGAAGGTACGAAAAGCACGCCGACGGCAAACATTCCGGCGGGCGACCGGAGGGTGTTCCCCCGGCGGCAAACCGTTCCGTTGCCCTCTCTGTATCGTCTTTCCTCCCTCCAGTCCACCTTCTGATTGTTTTGTTTGGTTCCTCCTTCTAGACATCCGATCCCGACACCTTAACCGTCTGAAACTTGAACTTCCGCTGAGTTTTCCGAAGTCGAGCAGATGAGTTTTGAGGAGGGACTTACAAGTTTTTGAATTTATCATTTGGCATTTTTTTCTTGAAAAGGTTTTTTTTTGTGGCTGGAAGTATTCATTATAAGGTTCAAAAAGGGTGGTTTTTTAAGCTTCGAAAAGACTGGAAGACTTTTTTACCTAATTCAAAAGTGTCTAAAAGGTTTCCTGCAACTTCACGTGATATTATTTGAGCTCTGGATTCAGTTTTGAGGGAGTTTTTTTCAAATTTTTTTTTAGTTTTTGAAGGAACTTTTTGAGAACAGTTTTTAGCAGGGAGAAGAAATTTTTTCACGTTTTGAAATTCCAACTTTTTTTTGACTAGATTGACTTGATGAATATAGCGTGAGTTTCTTGTTCATTTCGACTCGTTTTTTCATTTCGTCTTCTTGGTGCAACCCGTTATTTTGTCATTTCATTGAATTGAATGCGTAGTTGGTATTGATATCATGATTAGAGCCCGTTTATTTTGAAGTCGATAAAATATCTGAATGTTCTTGCAGAGAAAAGCGTAGCGACGGCACGGTGGATGGGCGTCGGCGGGGCGACAACGCCGTCCGCGGCCAGCGTCGCCGCGACATCGTCGTCGTCGTCGGCCTCCGCTGCGAGCGCTGTCGCTGGCGTCTTCCGCGATGTCGACGACTACGAAGACCTCCTCCAGAAGCTTGCCAAGGTTCCAGTTTTTGAGATCTTCAACAAAATTATTTGTCAAGTAAAAATTATTTTCTTTCCAACATTTTTCATTCATATGGGGTCTCCAAACAAAAATTATTTTCTACATCATTCCTGAATTTTACTCCAAATTTCTATCTTTCTGAGAGAAATGGATTTTGCTAGCGTTATACTTGTCCACTAACTTTCTGAACTTTGGAAGTTTTTTTTTAGAATCTGAGCTATATTTTTCAATTTTCGAGAAAATTCTCTTGAATTTTAGCTCTCTTCCCTATATTTTCTGACTAGCCAAGGTTTTTTTTTGTTATTGAATATGTCAACCTTTTTTTCAATTTATTCACATTTCTACATTGAATTTTACATTTCGCATTTGTTTGAGACGTTTTTTTCTGCTTTTTGATGTCAAAACATGGGAATCTTCTTCCGAAAATAGTTTTTGTCCGAACTTAACTACAGTAAGTCGTTGCTTTAAGAACTATTCACTTTTTTAAATTTTTGTGTATCAAGTTGTTCTAGAGTCTAGGGTTTCACTTTAATCCCTTAATTTGTCTTTAATTACGCATTTTCTGTAGTTGGATTTAGTACATGATCATGAGATCATATTATTTCTGTGAACTTCTGCTTTCTTCTGATTTTTCTTTTTTTTCCGAATCGCGAGCTTGCCGACAGCATACGACCACTTCGCCATGTGGGTACTTATTGTCAGGTACAAATCCTAATATTTTATTCCTTTTTATGTATATGGAGCGTTATACATCTTCTTTTTTTGATTCTATCTTTATTTTCAGTTTTTTTTTCTATCGAGTTGTTTTTTTTTGCTATAGTTTGTCACAAAAGTTTATTGATAACCTCAAAATATGAGCATTTTTTTATATCATTTCATCCTCGATTTTTTTGAAAAAAATTTATACTAATTGTTTTTTTAGCTTTTTTTAAAAAAACATTTTTTTCAAAAAAAGAGATAGCTTAATGAATAACAAGAAAAATTTCAGAATGAAAGCGATCTGGAACTTGCTGCTAAAATCGGACAATCGCTTCTCGAACAGAACAAGGACTATCAGAATAGGTAAAATCTCGGAGTTTTTAGTTGATTTTCATGCGAGTTATTTCACTATAACCTTGAGAATCTCCAACAAGGTCTAGAAACTTTTGAAAGAAGATTCTCGACAAGATCAGCAGAATTCAATCCGAAAACAGTTATTGATAGGATTTTAGGCTCGCAGTCGTTAATCGTTATCATTCACTTTGTTTATTGGCTTAGGCCTTTTATGATGCTTATTGTTGTATATTTACACTTTTTGGGTCAATAGGATTTTTTGATAAACGTTTATAAAGTATAGGGAAATATATGGAGTTTTCAAGGATCTCAGAGAAATATTGAGTTTTGATATGCTTTTTGAGCTGGGCAACAAAAGATAGAGAATGGAATTTTTGACAAATTTAGCCGATTTCTTCTTGTAGATCTGCTCATTTCTCCTTTTTACTATGAAAAACAATTTTATGAAGTGTTCTAGTGTGTTCCGATTTATTTTTGATTTATTGTCATTCAAGCGCCGAAACCGATTCTACCGTAAAGAGTCGATCAAAGAGAGTGATTGGATTGGTTCTTTTTTTTCTGTTCCGTTTTGACCCATTTTGGAAAGTTTTGAATGGAATCGGAGGCCTTTGTGTATGAGAGTTCTCGATGGTTTTTGAGAACTTGGGGATGAAGCGTCCCGGTTCATACATTTGACTTTTAGCTGCATTTCAATACTTTTTTGAAGTAGGAACGCATCAGAGCAGAAGTCGTTTTGGGTCGGACGCATTTAGACGAACCGCTACGCTAAGCCACCTCACATATCTTCAAATTGAAGTGTTCTCGAAACAATTTAATTTTTCTCTTTCACAGGAACGATTTCCTCGAAGAAAGCCTTGCCAAAACAACGGACACCGTCATTCAACTGAAACACCAGCTTCAGCAGAAGATTGACCTGTTGAGAGTCTATTCTCATCTCGATGATGATGGCCTTCCGAGGTGAAACTTGATTTTGATGATGAGAGAGAGAGTAAAATAATCCTTTTTTTCAGACACAACAGCGACGACAGCCTTCGAGTTCGGTTGGACAGTGCTAGGCACGAAAATGAGCGGTTACGAAGGGAGTTCGAGTCTCTGAAACTGCAGAAAGACCTCTCCGTGGCCGAAGAACGGCAAAATGCCGAGGAGCTCTGTCGGCAGCTCGATGATGCCAATGATAAGGTATGGTTAGGGGAACGTGCTGGGTGAGAGCTTTGTCGAGAGACGAGGAGGGCGCAGAGAAGCCTTTTTTAGAACTTTTTAAATTTTATTATATTGAAATTAAAAAGTATGGTGTTAGAAAAAAAGCTTTTTTTTTTTGAAATATTGCGCTTATTTCATATTTGAAACTGAGGCTATCCTGGTTTTTTGCGTAACTTTTAGAAAACTTGGACTATAGCCGGCTCACGACTAGCTTACCCAGTCTGGGCTTTCCATCAACCATGCCCAATCGTGTTTTTTTAAATCATGTCAGAACCTTTTTTCCGCTGGCCTGAGCCAGCCGTGAATTAGTTATACTATTGTTTCTAAAAGCTTTAAAATTTGGCTATCTTCAGGCTCGAAAGAATTTTAATATTAAGGTCCATAAGCTTCAACGTCAAATCGAAGGAAAAAGCGTCGAGCTGCAAAATCAGTCGGAAACTGTTGAGCGGCTATTGCGGGAAGTTCAGACGAAGGAAGGACGGGAGAGAGAGGTGAAAAAGAATTATTTTTCTAACCGAAATGTTTTTGACATATCTGCTTGTACTATATTTTTCTTAAAAAATCAAACTTATGCTCTTCATTTTCAGCTTTTCACCCAACGAGAAGAGCTCAGCTCGATGCTCATCGACATGATCACCAAGAACGACGCGATGAGCGATGAGCTGGGAAGAATGCAGGTTTTTCATCAATATCGAATCGAAAATCGAAAAATTGGCTTTCTAGGAACAATACGCCGAGCTCAAGGGAACCTTCAAAGACGCTGAAGAGGAACTGCTCCGACTGAGGCAAAGCGGCGCTTTTCGTGCTGGTTTGTAGCGAAATACACAAAAAATTGATGGAACTTCATTTTTAGCGTCTTTCGACTCGCTCTACGATTCCCTGGCCTCAGAGCTGGAAAATTCGGACAGCGGAATGAGCAGTTCGAGGGTCGCCTCCGCCATGACCAACAACAATAAGAACGAAAATGGCGGATTCTTGACGGCGAGGAGTTGCGGCGGCGCTCTACATGTCGCCCATGCTCAGCCCTTGAGCTTGGAGCTTGAGATGGTCGCCTCCCAGGTGAGCATCAGGAGGGGAAGCAGCCTTACTAGGGAACTTTCCGAGCTCAAGATGAATATCGAGAGGAAACTGTTGTGGTTCGCCCATCCATATCGTTTTTGAGAAATAAGGGCTCAAAGTCTTGAAGTAACCTATTTTCTTCTTTTTGATGGTTCATTTGAATTTGAGGTAAACCAACAAAAGTTCAACTCGATAATCGTCTCCCAGCCTGAATAGTTCTTTAGTGAAAGTCAGCTGAATCATATAAAGATTTTTAGGACCTTTCCATACCTGTTATAGATGAGCTGGAAGACTGAAAAGCTACATTTCTTCTGAATTTGCTGCTAGATTAAGTTGAGGTGTTGAGCTAGAAGGCTAGAGAGCAAGGGGAGCTTGGAGAAAAGCCAGAGAATGAGAAAATTTTGTCGAGTATTGTGCGCATAGTAACTAGAACCGAGTTCGTTAGTTCAATTCTCCCTGTTTGTGAGAAAACGAAAGTAAATGGATACGAATAATTTTCCTTTACCAACTGTTTTGCAGTCTTGTGACCCGTCGGACCGGCTTTCCGGAGTTGGCCTCGAATACAAGCCGATCGTCGAGCCGAAGGAACTCTGCGACGCCAGTACCTCCTGCACGGACATCTTCGTCGAGTCGACGTTAGTTTCTCTGAAAATACAGTGTTCAGGCTTTTTTTTCTACCTTTTTTTGAGCGATTTTCCGCGTGAAATTTGTAGAAGTTTTCCAAGTTTTTTTCGTTTCCAGGTCGTTCGAAACGCCCACGCCGGTCGCCACTTCAACACCGAACAACATCGACAAGGGCAGTCTGAAGCTGGAGGTGAATAGATGAATAAATTGAACTGCGAGACGAATTTTGTTTCAAAACTGCCTTGAAACGATTACATGAGTAGAGATTTTTTGAAACATGACTTTCCGTTTTTTTTTCCAGCTGACGAAACCGACGTCGATCGACTGCGCACCATCGACAGCCGCGACGCCAGAAGTAGCCCCTCCAATCGCTGCAATCGCCGCCGTCGAACCATCGACGTCTTCAGCGACGCCCAAGCGTTTGACGGTCAATCGGTTGCGACTGAAGATGCCGGCCAAGGCGACGACGCCGAAGCGAACCGGGTCGCAGGACTCGCTCGACGGCTACGACGCTCCTAAACTTGGCCAGCCCGGCGTTCCAGGCACTCGAGATCTCGACTTTTCGCTCAAAAACCTCAAGGCGCGACAACAGGTGCGAATGAAAGGATTATTGGCTTTGCGAATGATATATTTGGCTTTATTTTTTGTTAAGATGGAAGTTTGAGGTATCTAAATCAAGAAATGCTTATGAAAACCAGTTTTAGAGTATTTTTGCTTTACTTTGAAATTTACTTGGAGCGCAGTTTTGACGATAAAAGAGGCTATATGTTAGTACTGATCGCGATTTAAAAGCCTTAAACTTTCATTTAACGTGGTTTGTGTGGTGATTGTATTGAGCCGTTCGCTTTGTGAGCCGCTCGGAAAAGTTTTCTGAATATTTTTTAATTAAAAGGTGAAGCTAGGGAGTAAAAAAAAGAAAGTTTTAAAGCCTAATCTTTGAATTTTTCATCCTTTTTTGTTGCGCTGCCACACCTTCATTGAAACTTTTTGGTGTAAATCCTGACTTGGTGTGATTTTTTCGTTTTGCACTGTCTCGTTTCCTTGGTTTGTGTTTAAATAGCTTTTGCTCAAGAAAAACTATAAATTTCGAATTCTACTCAAAAACTCCGCAACAAGAATATTCAGAACGGTACTGTTCATGAAGGATTTTTTCAGTTCTGGTAAATAATTAGGTAAGATGGAAGGAACTGAGTAGTTTTTGGATGAAGCCGGCTCTCAAAAAGAAAATCTAATTGTAAAAAAGTTGGTTTTTTTGTAATTTTTCTCGGCCTTCGGTAACGGAAACCGCGCAAGATCCGGACGTTTTTGAATTCTAGGGCTCTCTAAGAGTACCGACACTACTAAAGTGGTCACTAGAAACTCCCCGACACGACCGGTTCACGTCCGGTTCGCGTTACCAACGTCCGAATCGAAGATTGATTAGCGTTGGAGGCACTTTCAAATTTTACATACAGTACCTACCGGTTTTCCCTCTATTTGTTTTGACGCATTTAAATTTCAAAAACTCACGAATCGCGAAATTCTTGGTTGATCGTTTTTCAATTACTGTCTTCATACTGAAGTTATCTAGAAGGTTCCTTGGTCATCTTCTTGTTTTTCTGACACTCAATAATAATTCCATCCTCGTGGCACCAGCTTCATCAACCTCTGCACGCTGCCAAGCCGAGCTTAACCTTCCTTGTTGTTTTTTGAACGTTATCCATTTGATGAATGGAATAACTTGCAGACGACCACGACGGTGATGATGCATGGTGTTGTTGCATGTGAGGATGAGGGGAAGGAGAAGTTATCTTCTTGGTTGTCTTCGTCGTCGTCGTCGTCGGCTTGCTGTGCCTCTTCTTCCTCTCCTCCTTGTTCTTCTACCGCTGGCTTCCCTGCACGCCGTTTTATCCTCTATACACCACAAAAACCAACAAGATCAACACCAACAACAACTTCTTCATGGCTAAAGGTGCGTTGCAGGTCGAACGCGATTTTGCTGCGTTCTGCGGCCGCCGCGGCATCCAGCCCCATGAGTTCTTCGCCAGTCAGTCGGCTGTATGTTGGTTGCCTTGTTGGGTACTACGAATTTGCCCTGGAGCGTATTTGATGCCAAGAAACTAGGCTATTAGCGCCATCACTATGAAACGTTAGATGTAATCAAAAAAAAATAGTCTTATATAGACACAAATGACGAGAGAGAGAGAGAGAATATTCAGATTTTTGAAAAACGTTTATTTTTGACAATTTGGTATTTTTAGATTTGAACTTTATCCCGTGTATTTCTTCTTTCGAGTGGCATTTTATAAGTAAACTTTCTCTTCTTTTGGTTCCCAACTCCCAGCATCTTAAGACTCGAAAATGGTTTCGATTGCCATGAAACATTAATGAGTCTTAATTTCAGGGCTTTTTCTTTGCCATCTTTTTTGACAACTTTGAGTTTCAGAATGTTTATTAGCATTTTGTAAGTGAAAGGTTTTTTTTTGAAAGGTACTTGTTTTTAAGGTCTTTTATTTTACTTGGGTTTTCATTGAATGGGTTTTTCGTTCAATTTTTTCCTTGATTCTTGTAAATAGCTCTTTTCGAATCAATCTTTTGATTTTTCCGTACATGAAGCTGTGGTTATATAAGTTTTTTTCTCAAATTACCAGTTATCGAGCACATTTCCGAGACTTTCTTCCTTTCCACTTTTTCTTGGGAATGATTTTTTTTTTCACCTCACAGTTAAGATCTAATGGAACGCGCAAGCTAGAGCATCTCAACTGATTTATGAACTCCTTGACTTTCTAAAATTGAAATTATTTTTTTCAGTCCGGAAAAGGAAAGAAATCCAGCCTCACGTCATGCTGGACGGACTTTAGCGTCAGTTTTGGTATGCGAGGAATCACGAGGTAAGCGTTTTTTGCATTTTCATCGGGTTTTCGAGAAGTCGTGTGATTTTCGAGATTCCAATGTGGATGGAGTAGACCTATCAAATGAGATTTTCTTAAATTTTCAAGCCTCCCCGCCTTTTTTGAATTTATCTCCCTGAGAAGCTCTGCTTCAAGTTATACTATTATACTTTTAGTTCATTCACTCAACCTGAATCGCTCGGGATCATGGGCATGAACGCGAAGCCTCTGGGAGTCTTGACAAGAGCCGAGGTTTGTCATTTATGATGTCATCAAGCATATCACTTCACGCAAGTCGTATCGTGTCGGACGAAGGTTTATTCAATGAAATTGCAGATGATCTCCTCGCCTTCGACGTCACCACAACACCGGCCACTCTCCTTGTCGCTCTCGTCTACCAACGCCGTCGGATTCATCTCGCCAACGTCTTCTGGCATCCTTCAGCGACGCTGAACGTCGTCTGCTTTTTAGAGTGTGAGTTTGGAAGTTTTCGGGATGAGCCATAGAGAAAAATAATGTGAACAAGAAATTTTATCAAATATTCTGGACCTTTCAAAATGAAATTGGAAAAAAAAGTTTTTGAGATTGTTTGGAGCTTTGAAGATTGAAGAAAAGTCGTTTCTCGTTTTCATTCAAAAGCGGAATCGAGACAAAAAATCAAACTTTCTGGTTTTGCTGCTAATGGCTCACTTAACGTTGCGATCGCACTGCGGCTCGAACTAGGCCAATTTCTAGCTTCATTTTCGAAGCCGTTGTGCACAAACCGTTTTGGGTCGGCTGCTTATTCAGACCAGCAGCAGTTTAGCCATTCAAGCTGCGACCGAAAAGTTTTGAAATTGGAGCGATTTGAATCGAATTCCTTTTTGAATACCTATCTAAAAAGCATATGTTCGAGAATTCCGGATAAAAAAATTTTTTTCTGAATTTTTAATTCTTCCTTTTTTTCGAATCCAATGGAAAGTTTACTGCTATTTTTATTGAATAATATTATTATTTCATTTTCAGATTAGGAAAAAAACTGACTGCCAACGGGTGCACCTGCCAATTCAACTGACTTACAAAAACCGAAACGACGGAAAAAACCAACAAATCATGAAAATTTCTCTGAATATCTGACTTTTCTTGCGGAATGAATGTGCTTTTTCTCTTCGTTTTTTTCGTTTTCAATTTTTTTTTCCCGCAAGTTTATCCACTTTCTTATGGCCCGTGTGCACTGAGTGCTTTAATTCGCGAAAATTGCTCATTTTTTTTGTAGTCTTTTTCTTTTTTTTCAATTTATAACTCTTTTGAATAATATATACTTATTTAGTGTTACCCGGTTTTTCTCCTTTCACTATATGTGCATTGAAATCAGCGTGTTTTTCTTGAAATTCTTAAATATTTTTTTAGTTTTAATACAAAAAAATCATTGTTGAACTTCATATTTTCTCAAAAAAACGAGTCAAATAATTTCTATAGGCTTGTTTGTTTTTTTCGTTGTAAATTTGTAGTGAACCTCTTCGTGTCTTGATAATGATATTGAACGGACTTCTCTGAAATTTGTTAATAAATTGATTTTTGATTGATAGAAGTTTAATTCACGTTGAAATTGTTTCCAGTCTCATTGGAATATTTGTTAATGGAAAGTTATAAAAAAATTATGAGCGTTTGAAGAGTTTTATCAAAAAAAGTAAAAGCAATTTTTTTAAATGAACTATTTTTTTGATAATTACGCGGGCCTCAAGTTTTGGCCGCAAACCCTATGCACCGCGGATACAGAAAAGCATTTTTAATTACGCACAAAATTCTCAAATCTTTGAAGAGCTTTTTTTGCTTATTCTTTTAAATTATTCCTTTTAATGGCGTGTTTATCGATTTAAAACGCAAATTGTTCCAAAACGCAAAAAACGCGCTAAAACAAAAGTTAGCCCTGTTTTGAAGCTACTTTGGTGTGCCGATGAACAATCTTATGCGTTTTTAAAAGTGTTCAGTTTATCTGATGAACACGGCATAAGTTTCACGACCACCGATTACCATACGCCAATTGATTTTTTTAAAAGTTGCTACCCGGTAGCTATTTGTATCGACTTCCCGATTCACCTTTGGCTGGAAAATAGCGATTAAAATAAAAGACCTCTCTTCAACAGATGCTAGAATTATTTTCTACTGAAGTATAATATAAAGTCTTGTGTTGGAACAGGGTTTACCTTTTTCGGGCATATTACAGTATAGCCCCCCGCATATGTTGGATATCAACGATCACGCAGGACACGTGTCAGAGCTTCCATTTTTAAATTTATTTTCAAATTTTTTCGTATCGTTTGCCGTTCTTGGTTGTTTCAAATGGCTTTTTTTGTATTTTCGCATGTAAATTCGTGTTCTTTTTGTGAATTTAATAATTTTTGTGATTTGTTTTTTAGACTATGGAAGAAATTAGGTCGCTGACCGAGTTTCATGAGAAGTTCAAGTCAGACAAAGAAGTTTACGGGTACGTCTCGCCGAGATACGTACGAATATCATAAAAATAATGGGGCGCTGACCACTTAGAAAAATTTAAGATGAACTTTATTAGTTTTTCAATCAAGTAATTGTTCTGAGGAATAGAATTTTTTGCTTTTTCTTTTCATGCACATTAATTAATAAATTACTTAGGAAAATAGGCTTAGTTTTAAGGCTTCACACGGAGGCGGAGCGCGCATAGCGCGAAGCCGACTGTGGCTCGCTTCGAAAAAACTGAGCCACAGTGAACAATTCGTCAAATAAATGAAATACTTGACATAGAGGGGGGTCATTCTGAAATGGAGGGGGCCATTCTGAAATGAGAGGGGGCCATTTTGAAATGAGAGGGGGTCATTCTGAAATGGGAGGGGGCTTGTTCGAATGAGCTCTGGGGGACTATTTCAAAGCCGTGCGGGGGGCAAATATGAAAGATTGCCTAGGCATTTCAGAATCGCCCCCCGTTTTGTACTGTGGGGGGCCATTCTAGAATACATATTCACCCCCCGCGTTCGATTCTTCCCCCCACAGGAAGTCCTCCTATTTTACCCCCCACAGATCGGAACTTGGCTTGGTGGGGGGCTTCTTGGAACGCGGGGGGCAAAAACAGTGTGGGGGGCGATTCTGGAATTTTCCCAAATCGACGATCTTAATTTGCGTTTTTTCTCGCTATTCCGTTCAAATTTATTTTTAAAAGACAGTTTTCCCATCAGATGTCCAGTAATCCTGGCCAAAACGTGAGGATAAGTTCTTCAACTACTCCAGGCACGATAATTCCGTGCTACGCCTGCAGTGCGATACCTCCACACGCGACGGTTGGTTTTGTAACTTCGAGATCAGGTTCTCAATCAGATACTTGGATTTTCAGACGAGATCAATATTTACAGGACACGTTCTGTAGAAGTTGTGGCGTTCAATTGAGCCTAGAATGCTCTTCTTGTCATAACCGGTTGAGGTGAATACAACTGGAGAAAAGGAAGTTGGATTGAATATTCTGTTCTCAGACCTTTGGATCGGTATTGTCCCTCTTGCGGCCGGGGGCGGCTTGTTCTTGTTGAGAGGATCAGAAGATGTTAGTTTTTTCATTAATTAATTAATTAAAAAAATGGTTTTCAATTTTTTTAAATGTAGGTCGGTTTTAAAATTCCTGAAATTGCGGAAGTTTTTATTACTTTTAAACTAATTAAACTAGAAACAACTTTTCGCCTCGAAACCTTCATTAAATTTTCCTTTACTCTTTTTAAAGATACCATGACAATGAAAAAAATGTAGGAAAATATATCGAAAATGCTTTTTAGCTGTCTATAATCAAATTTTTTTCTTTTTATAAACATAAGTTCAATCTAATATTAAATTCAAAATTCAAAATGTTTATCAACAGTATTTACAATTTTTAGCAAATAGAGCTGCGGGAAGCAGGCAATTCGCGAAATTAATAACACAATACAATACAATACAATATACAATACAATATTTATTGGTTGTTTTAGTCAGATGGTATCGACTAGGCGATGAAAAATTGCTCTTTTGAGCGGCACTAACACCGCCTTTGGCGAAAAAGAAGTCAAAACGTGTAGTCGATTGAATTGAAAGCATGATCTTACGGTCCTTCGCCTCGTTCTTCCACAAGTTGATCCCTCAGTTTCGCTTGTACGGGCACGGCGGTGATGGTGGGGCTCGGACTCCGTGTACACTCTAGGGTAGCCTCGGCCGACTGAGAGAGCTACCACTTCGAGTGAAGAAAATACACGGAATACAAGAACTGAAATAAATTTAGTCTCATTTAGAAGTCAATCGGAGAACTTCCTGGTTAGGTGTCAAATTCTCTTTTCTTCAAATCTAACTTTTCCTGAAATTTGAAAAAAATTTTTTTGCTCATAAAATCGCTCAAGCTACGAAAATATAACTTTCTGCAGGAATAGAAAAAATAACGAAATTTGAAAAAATTTCGGACTAGTAAGTAGACTCTTCGAAAACTGGTCCTTCTTTAAAAATATCCAAGAAGCGTTTAATTTTTGAATTCCAAAAAAACCAATGGAACCAGATTATTTTTTTCAGATCACTAGGGTAGGTCGAAAAAAAGTCTTACCTAAAAAAACTTGAAAAAAATGGAAAAATTTTTTTCGAAATTGCTAAGCCGTTTCCTATGCAAATTCTGCCGCTGAATCCAAGAATTTAACTTTAAAAAATAAAAACTAACGCCAACAATTTTTTTTTCTCAGGCCAAATAAAATTTTGAAGGCCTTATGCGCTGTTTTCGAGCTTGGCACCGTCTAGCACTCAGAATTTTTGAATCATAAAATTAGCACTTGATCAAAAAAAAAAATTTGTTTTCTTTGCTTCTATCAAAGTATCTTTTTTTCCGTGAATGGACTCTTTCAGTTATGGTGTCCGGAAATCCGGCCGTCGTTTTTTTGGCGTCGCTGTTCTCGCCGCCTCGTCTTGGCTGGCACTTCGATATGCCCCTACTGCCCTTATCAAGAAGATGATATTTTGTAAATTACCAAGAAAAATTGCTCATATTGAAATTTTTTTCTCACCATAATGCTTGAAAATAAAAAGTTTTTTTCTTAATTTTTTTCGATCAAATTGATTTTTCCTGTTGGAGGTATGAATGCCTTTTTCATTTTAAAGTGTTAATGTTTTTCCTTTTTCTCAAATTTTATTGTAAGCTATTTTTGCTACAGAAAAAAATAGGTCTGAAGATGAAAAAAATCATGAATCTTTTTTTAATTTGTCAGCGCAAAAATTTTTGGAGCTGGTGAACCTTATCTCAACTTTTTATTTTTTTCTTTATAAAATGTTGCATTTCTTGCTTTTTACACAAATATTATATAGAATGAAAGTTTTTCGGTGTCTTTTTAAAACGTCTTTGATGGAAAAAGTTTTATTGAATTTCGGCGTTCGAAAGTTTTTTTATAGGCGTTTGATTCCATCTTTTTTTGGCCACAGATCAAAACTAAATGCTCCAAATTACTACTCAGGAACGTCCGAGGCGTTTTTGATTTGACTAAGATAAATGTTTATGGGGCGTAAATGTTTCAATATACATTTTTTTGAAGTTTCAAAACGCTTCAATTTTAATTTTCAATATTCGTCTGTCTGAAGCTCATTTTCCGTATTATTGTCCAATAAAATGAAGATTTCTAGGCGATGAATGATCCGGGTCCATCTGATACGAATAATCCGCTTGAAGATGATATAGGTTATCTTTTTAAAAAAACTAACGTAATATCTAAATGTTTAGTTCTCCTCGATAATGCTGCCGTGCTCGAAAAAAGAGTTTCTAAGCGAGGTAAATTTCCCAAAAGTTTTTATTTTTTTTTGATCAAAATGACATTCAGCGAATTCCCTGCCGGTTTCTGATGAAAGGGTGAAGATTCACAGAAAGGCCGCTTTTTGTTTTAGGTTATTTCAATATATCTAATTTTTTTCTCTTATAATTTTTTTCAGGGCAAAACAAACTTCAGAAGCGATTCCCCATGGTGATTCCAGTGATGAGGATTGCGTTATAATCGAAGGTATGAATAATAAAAAAGGATATTAGAAGCGAAAATTTCTTGAAGCTGATAAATTTTGCAGCATTTTTCACGTGAAACTATAAGTTTTCTCGAAGTTTTGAAAGTGGAACATTTCGGAAAAAGCGTTTTAACTAAATTAATTGCCAGCTTGGGACGAAAATTGTGATAATTGCTTCTAAATCTCGACTTTTGGCTCATTTTTTCGCGAATCGTCCGAAAAAATAAATTTGGTGCTTCCACTAGTGTTTTTGCAAGTGGAAATTCGTTTTTCCGTCCAAAAATTGCGAATATGCAAAGCTTTTTAACTTTTGAGAAAGTCCAATAAAACGTCGGATAGAACTCTCATAATCCGTTAAAATAAGCCCTTTTGGGGGCTTTAAGGTCTCATTCCTCGAAAAATAGGGAGCTGTGCAGGTTGAAACTCTCCGAATCCTTTTCTGGTACATCAAAGCTGTTTTGGCCAATTTTCAAGAAGATCCTTATCCTATATTAAAATAAAAAAAATAGTCGTAAACTCAAACGACCCGCTTAAGAAAAAAAAAAGGTTACTTTATCTAAGCATATCTAAGCTTATATTACATCCCTTAGACAGAATGATACTGAAAAAAAGTTGATTGAATAAAAAAAAAAGTACAACGAAAACCTCTCCAATTATGAAAAAAATGAATAAAAAGTTTTTTCAGAGTTGACAACCGTAAAGGTCAGTTTCTTTCCTATTTCTTCTATGGTTTTTTTTTTCATTGATCGATTTTTGGTTTTTCCATTCATTTGTGAAACGATGAGAAAGAAGATTTCCAGAAATCTGAGAAAACACCGTGCCAAATAAATGCCGATCGCGACGCGGCCTTGAAAAGATACCGAGGCATACAGGAGGTCCGGAAAGCGGATAAAATTCGGATGAGAGAGGTTTTTAATCGAAATTATTGTCATAAGACATCGAAAAGAGTGATAGGTAACAGTAGAAGTGATATAAGTCTAGGATTCCCAAATACAAATTCAGAACTAGCTTAAAAGACTACATCTACATTGCGTTCAATAAGGATAGGACCCCCCTCGATTTTGGACATTCTGGCAAAATACGGAAAGATATCAAGAATTGGTAGGTGCCATTCGATTCAGAGTACAAAATAACCCTCAGAGCCAAACTTTCATTATCCTAGCACTTTTCCTACGAAAATTCCATCGAAAAAACGATTTTTTGACCGTTCAATAAGGATAGGACCACTTGGAAATTTTTGACTTTCATTGGAATTTTTTGGTCAATTTTTTTCTTTTTGATGAGGGGTTTTTTTGTTCTCATATTATTTGTTTTCAATTTTTTTCTAAGGTTTTCCTTTCATATCTTCCAGGTTTTAAAAATATTTTTATATTGAAAAATAGGGAAAAAAATGACGTTTTTTTGAGCTTGCATCAAAAATATTTGAGCGAGTGATTTTTTTAGTACTTTGAATGAACTTATCTTATTAAAAGAGACATTTTAACGTTCAAAAAAACAAAAAAAATTTGAAAAACATTGCTTTAAAAGTTAGAAAACCAGTTACAAGATGGTGCATCGTGACCAAATTTCAGACAGTCGTCGTTTTCGACCGTTTTTCTTTCTGTATGTAGTCGGAATGGCGGTGTACTTTTTTTAAAGGATTTGTGAAGGTGCTCCCATCACAAAAAGACACTTAGTTGGATTGGATAAAAATTGGCGATCCTCGGAAATCAAAGGAATAAACACCCTTCCGACTGCTACTCGAACTTTTTGCGGTACTGTATAAATAAATCATATAAAAAGTTTTATTTCTGATAAAAATTTGTTGTATTGCACGTTTTAATTTTTGTTTTATTTAGTCGACAAACTAAAAACCCGCCAAACGCTCTATTTGAAACAATACCTTCGATAAGCTCAGGTACCAATTTCTCTCCACATTTTCTCGGCATTGTACGTAGTGAATGAAATTTTTTTAGATTATCTTGTTGATGAATTATGCTCATAGCACCTTCGCGAATTCTCGAAAAAAAATACACAGCCATTCCGACTACATACAGAAAGAAAAACGGTCAAAAACGACGACAGTCTGAAATTCGGTCATGATACACCATCTTGTAACTGGTTTTCTAACTTTTAAAGTAATATTTTGCAAACTTCTTTTGTTTTTCTGAATGCTGAAGTGACTCTATTAATCAAATAAGTTCATTCAAAGTACTGGAAAAAAATCACTCGCTCAAATATTTTGATGCAAGCTCAAAAAAACGTCATTTTTTTCCCTATTTTTCAATATAAAAATATTTTTAAAACCTGGAAGATATGAAAGGAAAACCTTAGAAAAAAATTGAAAACAAATAATATGAGAACAAAAACCCCTCATCAAAAAGAAAAATTGACCAAAAAATTCCAATGAAAGTCAAAATTTCCAGGTGGTCCTATCCTTATTGAACGGTCAAAAAACCGTTTTTTCGATGGAATTTTCGTAGGAAAAGTGCTAGGATAATGAAAGTTTGGCTCTGAGGGTTATTTTGTACTCTGAATCGAATGGCACTTACCAATTTTTGATATCTTTCCGTATTTTGCCAGAATGTCCAAAATCGAGGGGGGTCCTATCCTTATTGAACGCAGTGTAGTGGACCTAATATATTTCAAAAATGGATTAGATGTCATAAATATCTTTTCTTCCTATACAACTTTTTTCCAGTTTCGAGAACGTTTTTGAAAAGATGAATAAAACATGAAGAAGAAAAGATGAATGAAAAAGGAACGATTTCAGATTGAAAATATGTCAGCTGATTTGTTTGTGAAGGACCCTCATCTTTTGGAGAATTATTTCCATCGATGGAAAGTCAACGATTCAAATCCGCCAAGTGAAATCCCTTTTTAAAGAGAGAAAAGCAAATGAAAATGTTTTTCAGACATGAAACACCGCATAAAAATGATTAGAGCATTGATTGAGCGAACCGGGAGAAAAATCCGGAGTTTAAACCTGCAATCTCTTGAGGACAATGAAATTTAGTGAGTTTAAACTGAAAAAGAGAGAAGATTGGTTTTTTTTTTCAGCTGGTTATCCCATTCGGCCGACTATTTCCCTCGACCGCGCTCTCGCTTTCTGATCACTGAGTTGGCGGTTTTTGGAAAATTTTCATTTGAAAATAAAGACCTAACAAGGAAAATATAGACGATTCACGGATAGCTTGGGACGCAAAAAGGCGTGTCCTGTCTGCACTCTCCACCAACCAAGGCACTGTCTCGTCTCTTTTCGTGGCAAGACCCATTTCTCGATGGCTCAAGCCAGCCGTGAATCAGCTATATGCAAGAGAACAACTGTGGCCTAAAGAGACGCGAGAGAAAGATAGATGTCTGATTACTTTCCTCTTTTCAGGGTTTCATTGTTTTCTTCCTTTGACTTACTCGGGAATGATCTGGGGATCTAAAAGGCTACAAAGAAAAATAGGATTTTTTCCCATTTGAATAATTGAGGCTAGCCGAGCAGGAAAATCGCTCGGTTTTTTTTTTCGAAATCTTGAGGCGTCAAGAAAAACTTCAGATTGAAGCATTGTAGGGACATTGCCGAGGGACAACATCGTCTGCCTATCGCAATGTACTCGGATATCGAGACAGATTCAACGCGCGTCGTTTTGCCGCCGTCTTTCAACTACATCACGGAAAACAACGCCAATTCGCTGCCCCCCGCCTATTTCGACATGTATTTCAAGCATCGTGAAGCTTGCGAGGTGCCTTTTTTGTAGGTTCATCTCTGAATTCAGTATTGGTTGGGCGCGCGCGGCGCCTGGTGACTTCTTTTTTTTTCTAATTTTTTGAGCTAATTAATTCTGATTTCTTCTTTTAATTCAAGCAGGTTTCCTGCTTGGGTTTTCAACAGTTTCAGCGCATAAAAATCTTCTTTTGGAGATAGTTATTCAAAGACTTTCTCAAAAGTTGAAACAGGCTCTGAAAGTGAGCAAGAACTTTGGTAAGTATTGTATAAATGGAAAGAATTTTGAAAGGGTTTTCCGCACTCAGTAAGCGAAAATAGAAATTGAAATCTCCGCGCGTTCTCCATCAGTGCCTGAGAAGTAAGATTATGACGCGTCCAAAGTAATTTCGTGACCATAAGAATTCACAGTTTCGTCTCGAGAATCGTAAAAGGTTCGAAACAAGTTTCTCTGATTTCGGAAAATCGAGAAATGAGTTTGTCGTTTTTAAACAGAAACAAGTTTGAGATGAGGTCAGCTCAAAATTGTCTAATTAATTTCGATTCGATTTTGAAGTGGTTAGAATGCATCAACTATTCATTCTCATTCATTGAAAAAATAATTATCAAAAAACAGAAAACCATTCGAAAAAACACGCTCTTCTCGTAGCACCTTCCTTAGAGGCCAACTTATATTTTCAAGCTCTTCCAAAGAAAGGAACTTTTCAGATATCGTGCGGTTGCAAGGAGGAGCTTGATGGAAGAGGCTGTTGGCAGAACGAAGATTGCCCTTGCTACAAGATGAACGTGAAGATGCGGCAACTGCAACGCAAAGCGAAGTCCTTCAATCATCCGCCAACCGAATTTGTAATTTTCCCTTCTCTTTTGATCAAGTTTTTTGGCGGCAAATAAAAGCAGAGGTTATCGAGAATGTTCGCCGGGATTTTCTATTTGAAATGAGCGTTTTGGCTTATCTTCACAACGAAACATCCAGCCGATAGTCGTTTCGCTACGATATGAAACTTTCTGACTTGTCTGAACTCTCTTTTCCTTCACCGGCGAAGCCAGAAAAGTATGTAAATAGCCCGTGAACAAGAGAGAACCTTTGAAAAAAATATTTCTCCTAGAAGGTCTCGAAACTTTATTTTCCTACTAAGAAAGAAACCAGGTTATATTTCGAATAGCCGCGCGGGTTGTATTTCGAATAACCCCTTTTTTTTGTCGGTATGAACCGAAGAATAGTTTTTTTCTAACATTTTTCCGAAGGTTTGCTATTTGTTGTTCTATCAGATTCCCAGCCTTACATTTGTTTGGGTTTGCCATTTTAGCTCGAAGGTATGCTTTTCAGAAGACGTACGACCCTTGCTACGTGTTGGAGAGTGGCGACGACGATTTCAACATCAAAGTTGGATTTGCCTGTAGCTCAAGTTGCGCTTGCAGTGGAAACTGTGCCAATAACGTGCTCCGATATGCGACTGATCCGATTTTCGGGTTTTTTTTTCTGATATTTTTTATTCACTTACCTTTCTGGGCTGTGAACGTGGCTGTAGATAACTTTTTTTCTCATTCTTAAACGCAAAATTTCGGATAAAACTTTTCTGATTTTAAAAACAGGTTGTTGAAATATTAATTCCCCAACATGAGACTTTTGTTCCCATCGCCAAGTATATACTTCTAAATGCACCAAAGTTTTTGTTTTTCGAAGAACAAAAATTCTTTTAATTGTGCGCAAATAAAAGTTTGAAACGATGCACTCAAATTTGCTCAACCTTATTATTTTTACTCAAAATTAAGGAACGAACGAAAAATGACGATGAGCGTTTCCAAAAACTACTTTTTTTTATATTCACGTTGAACTGAATGTTTTTTTCACAGACAGATTTTGTGTCGTGGAGGGAACCGAAATCGCTTTTTTTTTTCAAAAATGGAAAACTTCTGTAGTACAGAATCAGTACAGTTTAGAACCATTCGACATGAAATGAAAATTTCTGAAAAGTACCAATATGGTAATACCAATATCAAAAACTTAACGTTTCATTCACGGTATGCTTTTAAAGACCTTTTTAAGGCTTGAACTGTACCGAAGAGATAAGAGCCTCGGCTTTGGCGTCCGCACGATGACTTTCATCCCGAACGGTGATCTCCCACCGGAAAAGTCTTCCAATCGTACTAATTTTCAAGGTTCGCCGGTGTTCGAATTCGTCGGCGAACTGTGTCAATCGGCAACGATAGCAGAACGAAACTCGCAGGACTTCACACTCGAGTTGCACAATCCCGACCACTTGGGTCCCTTTGGCAAAGGTTTTGAAAGAGAATCTGCCTCCTGATATCATGGTTTGATCGAATATTTGTTCCATCAATGAATATATTTTGAGCATACCTATGCGAGTGGCTGGTATGTGGACCCGAAAACGTCGGGGAACGTCGCGCGATTCGTCAGCCACGGCTGTTTTCCGAATCTGGCCTTTTATAGGTTGCGTATCAATTTTTTATCGTGTTCAATAATCAGAACATAGTTTCTTAAAAGAAAACAGAAGGGCTATGGATACCTAATGCTTTTTTTTTTACAGCGGCCAAAAGGATCATATAACGTAGTAAATTTAGAAAACAAGTCTTGTCAGGGTTCTACGTATAAATTGGCTCTGAAACTTTCGTTGTGATTCTCATTGCGCCTTTTTACGTCTTTTCCCTCCGCCTTGTTAACATTCCTAGACAAAGAGTGGGTTTTCAAAAAAGTGGGAAAAATTCTAAAAGCCTTGTTCTTATAAATTTTGCGACCGGTAAGAGATAAAAAGGGAAGATGTATTTCTGTAATAAATTAGAAGACCCTAGAATAAAATTTTGTTTTTTTTTCTCAAAAATCAACAACTTTAGTGGCGAAAACCGAGATTTTGCATAATATTCCTTGATAAAATATTTGTTTTGTACAATCAAAACTTACAATTCAAGAGACTACTGTTCAGGGTGTACTCGAAAGGACTTGCGCCTCATCAAGCCCATTTGGTCTTCTTTGCAATGGAAGACTTGCCCGCCGGCACCGAGGTCCGTGAAAGATCTTTTCAAACTTTCGAGAAACTTTTGCGTTTTGTTTTATTATTTGCGGGTTTGAATCTTCAGATCACACGAAAAGCCAGAATGTTTTTGAAAAACCTCATCAGTTTTCAACTTGCTAATTAACCTGTTTCAGCTCTACTTTGACTACGGACCGGATTACCTGAAAGAAAGCGGCGTGATTGAATGTCTGTGCAATACGTTGGGCTGTACGAGGACGGCGACTTTCGAAAAGCTCGCCAAACTTGACGACGAATCGGTTTGTGCAGAAATTTATCAGAAGAAACAAGATTTTATCGATACATTTGAGGTGAAAACGTTGTTGGAAATGCGGCTGCATGATAAACATCGTCAGCGAGATTGGATCAACGACGTCTTGGCCGATGCCGACTTGAGTAAGTTCTCTTTTGTTGAAAAATAAGTTATTCAAGTTGAAATCATGTTTTCGGGGGTTTGAAAGGGAAGGATCCTTTCAATACTTAAAATAACATTGAAAATGGCTTTACACTCCCTAGTCAGACTGTTGCGAAAAATCAATTAAAACACATCCAAAACTATTTCAAGTATAATTTTCATTCAGTTTCAAGTGTCACGAAAACTCTGAAAAATGATTTTCAACCTTATCAATACAAAAAACAGGCCAAAGTTTGAGAAAATTTAGAAAGGGTTTTTTTGGACCACTGTAATTCTTGAGTACTTATTGCTAACTGTCCGTTTTTTTTTCTTACTTTCAAAAATTTTTTCAACGTTTTTATTAGAATAATCATCTCCTCGTTTTTTCGAGAAAAGGTCACAGGACAATTGTTCTCGAATATTACCTTATATAAAAACTTCAGCCCAGATTTACTTGACCAGAATCGAATTTCAAGTGTACAAATCGTTTTTTTTCAGGCACAGATGATGAAGCATGAGGGCTAACGTCTGTCTACAAGATTTATCATTTATTCACGGTTCAGGGATTTTATTTCTTCGTTTCGTTTACATTTTTTTATAAAAAAAGAAAAAAATTTTTCTTATATAGCTCCTTGAAAAAAATTTCTTCATTTTTCGTTTTTTTGTCTTCGATCGAAGATTGTTAAAATTTATTTTTTTCATTCCGTTTAATTCTTTTTTTCTATTCTTGTACTTGCTGAATATATATTTTGTTTTTTTGATTGTTTTCAATGAATTTATTGCGAGATTTGAAGTAAACCGAAAAGGTACTTTTGTGAGGAATTTTTGGTGGCTGCTTCGAATATCACGTCTAAAAGTTCAACAAGGAAGGCCATAATAGCATGCAGCAAAGAAACATTCGGGCGCGCCTTCAGGCTCTCTAGCTCAGAGGATGCAAAAAAAAAAATGGAATTTTTTACTTTTTCTCCAAATGTTGATGATGTTTCTTCTCCATTTTTTGTTGGAGTTTGAAATTAAAATTGCTCGAATTCATAATCGACCCGAAACTAACTAAAAATTAGATATTATTTCGCAACAAAGTTCTGACAAATAAAAAGAAGCAAACTGAGTTTTTCTCTGATTTTTTTAGATATTTCAATTTTTTTATGTTTAATGAAGGTCAATTTCATGTCTTTTTTTCTGTAAGTAAAATTGCAAAAGCCTTATCGTTGGACTTTATAAGTTTTTATACAGAGTTTTTCTATTTTTTTTTTCCGCAATCGTTTTCTTTAAGAAAGTTAAGGAAGGAAGTTGAGGTCGACGTTGCCGCCGCAGAGGATCACCATTGGCCGATGAACTGTCGAAGGCTTGTAGTGGAGGAGAGCCGCGAGGGCCATACAAGCCGTCGGCTCCACTCTTTGCTGAAAACCCCGATTTATTAATTTATAAAGACCATTTACGGCTCTCTTGGGACATCAAACGGACGGTTTATAGAGAACCTTTCTCTGCGATGCGCGCGATTCCTGTAGGCGCTTTTAATATAGCGGAAATTTTAGGTCCAATGAAAGACGCATGCAAACGAACAGGCCGCTCGCTTCAAACGGAAATATTTTCAAGCTCGGAGGAGAACAAAAATCGTGAAAAGCTGGTGCGAAACGGCCTATAACTTTCTCCACAAGGTTGATTGTGGGAACTCATCATGCGCCTTCAATGAAAGCCTCATTTTATAAATGCAAAAAAAAAATCATGAAAGGAAGCTTTTTTGAAGGCGCATGAGGAGTCGCCGCGCAGTTCCAAGCCAGTAGTGAAAGGACTATAACTATTCGTTCACCTTTAACCGGGTCCAAACCAAGCGCATCGCTTCTCGAATCTCGTCGTCATTCTGCATAAAATGCCAGTTCGAAAAACAAATTCACAACTTGCAAACTAACAACTGTGATTAAATTGTCTTTGCAATGAGCCTCGATGATTGGCTTGCAATAATCCCCGATCCGGAGCACCCGTACGCCGTCAGCAACTGGAAATGTCAGTAATATCACCAAGTTATCTATGAAATTCAAAAAAAAAAAATAAGCGAATAACTTATTTTTTACTGTTCTGCCCGAGACTTTCATTTCTCAACTTTCAGAAGATCTGGTGATTATTTTTTTAAAAAAGTTGGCAAAAATTTTTTTTTAAAAAAAGCTCTTTTTCCTCTGTATTTTTCTGATAAAGACAAATTTGTATCTTCGGAAGCTTCATTATAGTTCATTCCGGCCTAGCTTGTCACGATTTTCATCTCCATTCGAGCTACAGAACCCTTCCGAGAAGCTTCCCTTCGAAGCGAAGGGTTTTGTAAATCGGAGAAAAATAAAAATCTTGTCAAGGAGGCGCGGAATGGGCTATAAAATAGTTACTGAAAGTTATTTCAGAAAGAAAAAAAAAACCACCAACTCGTATTAACCACGTCGTTCTCCGGAAGGGTGCCTTCATCCAAATACTGTTTCAGGAACTTGCCTTGCGGCTCGACGACGAAAACTGCAGAGAGAAACATATGTGAAGTGATCTTGGCAAAAAAGGCCAGAAAAATTATGAAAATCACTTTCTTTCATAAAAGGCAGGGACGATATTCAATTGGGTCAAAATTCAAAATTCAAAGAAAAAAAAAAAAAAACACTCCCTCGATACTATTTGATTCTATATTTAATATGCGATCAAATAAATATAATCCGATATTCGAACTAAATGGAAGCAAACCTATATAATCCCGGCAAGGCCAAACCGAAGATATACACATTTCTCATTATTTTTTCTTCGCACCTTTAACATCCGGATGAGTTTTGGCCGTGTAGTAAGCGATAGCGCTGGCGAAACCGCCGCCGCCCAAAGAAACGAAAATTGAATCCGTTTCGGGTTCCTGCTCGAAAATCTCCTTGACGATGCTGGCCTGAACGTTTTTCATCAGCAAGCAATTATAGGTGGTTCACGACTAGCTCCGGACGACAAGTCACTGTCTCGGCATTATCGTGTCAGGACCCTGTTTCGATGGCTCGAGTCAGCCGTGAATCAGCTATATGATCGAACTCACGTGGCCATTGATCATATCCGGTTCGTTGAAAGGTTCAACGACGGTGTAGCCGAGTTCCTTGGAGAGACGTTGACAATCTTCTTCTCTGAAAAAATAAAGCATTAAAATATGTTCAAAGTTTGCATTTTAATGGAGCAAAAATAAAACTCTTTGTGTTTACCAGAAGGTTTGAGCATATAGTCTTAATAAAACTGATTAATCCTCACTTTTTGCCATTTCCGTAGGTCAACACCTCCTCACGGACTAATCAGATTTCCTCGGAAGGAAACATTTTCTTTTTTCCAACATATTATCCGCCGGCAAAGTATCTTTTTCGAGTCGATTCTCTATCGCTCTTCGATAGCGCCAAACTTTGTGAACTAGGAGTTTTCAAAAAATATCGAAAAATAAAGCGTTATTAAAGAATAATCGTCACGAGAGATAAAAAAATCGAAGCTAAGGATAATCTAGCCATCTGCTCCCCATTCAAAATCAGAACAAACTATAATTGAGTTCTGTCCAGTTTTCTTGACAACTTATAGATTATTAGATGTCAAGTGGTTACCGCGCCTTGACGGTGGGCTGACAAAGACGGACGTCGGCGTCGTAGGCGGCGATCGCTTCTCTTTTCGACGGCGGAGCGTTCTCCGGCACTACGACAGTGCAGGGAAGCCCGCACGACTTGGCCGCCCAAGCCAACGCCTGTCCATGGTTTCCAGAAGAATGCGTGATCTGAAACAGTTCTGATTCGCGGAATGGTTTGTCCATGATGGCAGGAGAGGCTGTATGCATGAGAGACGGAAAAAAGTCCATGAAATCTATCAGAAAACCGCTTGGTTGGAAGGAAAATTCTGTTTTATTCAAAAACAGCTCGTCCTGAGTTTTCAGAATTTTATCTTGATCATAAAATTCCTGCAAATATAAGAATATGAGTTTTTACAGAAGTATAAAAATCAACAAACATTGCAAATAAATGTTTCGTACCAGTACTGGACTGGTCTAGAACTAGAACTGGTCTCGTCTTCTTTTCGAAAAACATTTCCAAACCCTTTTTTTGTCTTTTTTTTCACACTTTCTGAGCTATTCTCTAGTTCAGAATTTCCATAAAATAAATACCCATAAAAAATATAAATTTTACTTCGGAACCCGAACAAAAAATGGAATCAGGTCATTTTTCAGACCATAAGTTGGGTTGGTCCGAAAAGTCTTTTTCGAATAACTAAAAACTTATTTTTGTCTTTTTCAGAGTTTTTAAAGCAGTTCCCTGTACAGAAATTCAAAATAATTCCAAAAAGGAAATGTTTGTCGAGAAATTCGTGGCACAAATGAAGTTTTGTCACGTTTAAGACCCAAAATGATAATCTTAAAAAGCTATTTTCGAAAAACGCAAAACTTTCGTTTTTTTTTTCGTTATTTCCGAAATTTAGAACCGCTTTGCTATTTTTTTCGCTGAATCTATAACTCATTCAAAAATTTCATAAGACTAACGCTGTTTAATCACTTGTTGACAAAAAAAAATTCAGAAATTTTCAATTTTGAAGTCTTTATGTGCTCATTACTTTGCAAAAATATCAAAACCATGTATAAATTCAAAAAGTGACCACTCCTTTCGCTCCAGCTTCCTTGGCTCTCAGAGTCGAATTGAGGGCTCCGCGGGACTTGAAAGAGCCCGTTTTTTGTAGGTGCTCGCATTTGAACTTGACAGGGAGCCCTGAAAGGTAAAAAAAAACTTTGTCGAAATTGGTAAAAAAAAATTGAATAAACAAAGTTAAAGACAAACTTATTATTCGTGGGATCACTCACGCTACACTAGTGATCCGTTGAAGAAGAATTTTAATCACAACGCGCTTCTCGCCAAAAATCTTACGCTATTTTGCCGGAATTAGAGATTTGGAAGCCACTCTTACGTTTGAATATTTTTTGAGGATAACTTACACAATACATGTGAAACACTTGTTGATTTACGAATAAGTTAATAAGTTACAGCTCCAAAAAAAAAAAATGAGTTTTCAGAATTTTTAGTGACCACATTAGTGACTTCAACACTCTTAAGTGAGATAAAATTGCTACGACGAAAACTTGAGTTTTGCTTTCTTTTGCCCCTTTTTTATTCCTAGTTTGTGAGAAAACCCACCAATGACTTGATCGATCAGAGAGCTTTCCATAATCGGTGTTCTGTGGATTTTGCCTTCGAGCCGTTCGTAGGCCTTTTCCATTTCCTCCAGACCTATTTCCGCCTTCATTCTGTTGTTTTCGAACTCAGACTACGTTCCTAAACAATTTTAAATATAAGCTGTCAGTTAAATATATCAAGCAAACGGGGAAAATCGATGGAAGATGAGAAAATTGAGAGAAGGTGATAAAAAATTGATCGACCGGTCTTATCATTAAAAACGTGGGCATGTCTGAGGTCAGAAATCTACGACCATCTTATTTCAAGGATCGGCTCTCGTGATTATCCTTTGAAAGAAGATAAAAAAGAACTTCTTGATAAAAAAAGAGGGGAGACTAAAGTGGCCTCTAAAAACACCTCTATAGAAACCACTACTTTGCGTCTTAGTTGCCACTCAAACTCTTAATTGTCTTATAATAATACTTGGACTTTAAAAAGGACATTTAAAGAGCCAATGTTTCGACTACTATAGTAGCCAACAAAATTTCGAAAACCTCGTTTCCCAGAAAATTTCGAAGGCAAAAAAAAAATGCTACTTCGCATATTTTCGAAGTTTTTCCTCTAAATTTTCAGTGTCCAACGCTTTTTTGAAACTTTTTCGCTAACATGACCTTTTTCCAGAGCTCAACAAAAAAACAGGTGAAATATAAATTTCACTAACCTTTCATATTGTGACTCAAAAAGCGCCCAGCTTGAGGTTTTTCAAAAATAATTACCTCTGAAACTTTGAAATTTGTTTTTTTATACAAAAAAATTGATTTTTTTCACAAACGAGAACTTCTTTGAAGACATGAATAATTAAGAAAAAAAGGTTTTTTTAAGCCTATTTAGACTCGTTTTTTTAGTTTTAACAAAGCTTTTTTTCCAAATTTTCTAAAAACTTTAATCAGTGAAGAAGTGCCAAAGATGTTAGTAGATTGAAACTCGTTTAAAAAACTTGAAATAACGTTTGCACTAACACAAATTTGGAAGCAATCTTATCGTAATCGGATCAATCATCTTTATAAAACGGTGCAATAATTATAAAATAATAAAACATCCATGGAAAAAAGGAAAGTTGAAAATTCACAACACTGTCAGGATAAAAAGGAGAAGAAGGTATATTTAACAGAGAAAGAAAGAAGAATTCAATGAAACAAACAAAAGGAAGAGCCCGTATCGAATGCAAAAGAATCATCACAAGGTGCGGTGAGAAGAAGAAATAATATTTGAATAAAAAATAGTATAATCACAATTGTTTATACAAACAAGATTAAAAATTCTCAAAAAAACGCATTTTTTGGCGGCGATAAGGAAAGGCCCCTGGAGTGACAAGCAAAATTTGAAAACAATAAAATTCCAAATATTCAAACGGCTTGTACAGAGAATCAAAAAAAGTTTCAAATCAGAGTAAAACGTGTGGGAAAACTGTACAAGAAGTGGATGGGACTAATTATTAGAGCATGCATTAAATATTAAAATATTACTACTTGAAGAAAAGAAAAAATCAAGAAATGATACGCTGATTAGTATAAAAGTACACATAATCGAGCATGGCGTCCCGCACCAGAAAAAAATCACTCAAGTGACCTCTTAAGTGAACCCTAGAGGTCTGAAAAAATTTAACAAAAATCCTTGAAAACTAAGTGGAGACCTTCTCTTGATATCGATCTATTAAATGTAAAAACTCGACTAGAAAGATGGGGTTCTATGAAACGCTGGAAGGATCACAACAAGGTCTGATTATTCTGAACTTGAGAAGACTGATTGAGTTTAATTCTAAAGCCTAGAGTGAACACTTATGGGTACCGACTTATTGTCAATTTCATGACGCTAGCTTTAATGAAAAACTTTTCCTAAATTTCAGAAATTCGCTCAAATTGGCTCAATTGAAACTCTCTACCCTAGAGTGACCTCTCCAACGTTTCATAGATATATCATAGAGCTCAAGAGTTGTTGATGACGTTGTTCGACTGCAGAACGTTCTGATGAAGGCGTCGTTTGGCCAAAGCCGAGGCGTTGACCGGGCAGAGGGACACCGACGGGACACAGTTCAAGGCTCGGTAGGTCTGCTTCAGGGCTTTCTACAAAATCAATTTTTGAGCTCCAACTAAGCAAAAATGTTCTTCGAAATGAGTATTTCTTGTAAAAAAAATATTTGAAGAACTAAATTTCATGAAATAAACTAAAGTTCCCGTTTTCATTTATGTTTCCCTTTTACCTTGACTTCGGACATCTCGAAATGATCTTTTGGATTCGCGTTGTCGGAGAGGACGTCGCGGCGCTGAATCCAGGGATGCTGCAGGATCTGCTTGGCGGTGAGACGTCGGTTCGGGTCCACGTCAAGCAATTTTCGGACCAGATCCTGGAAAATGTTTTTTTTTCTTGATAATTTCAATTTTTACAAAAAATTTGTTCTCTTAAAAATTCTCAAAACAACAATAGAAATATACGTAAGCGAAGAAATTTGAAAGAACTCTCAGGACTCTGCAGCAAAAATAATCCATTAAAAAAAATTGATTTTCGCCTAAAAAAAAGTCAATTTTTGTTGGGATTTCTGTGCCATCGAGTGAGAGAATCTTCCAATTGATATTTCATCAAAATTGTTTTGACAGTAACCTTCCTTCGTTTTTTATGTCATGCTCAATTTCCCAAAGACTTGTAAAATCATGAGTTAGGGATGAGGAGAAAATTTTTAGCAAAATACAAAGTCTTTTTCTCCCGAAATTGAGCCTTGTGAACTTCAGACGGCTTCAGAAGATCTTCTCAGGAACAGCTCTTCTAGCTTTTTCTGATTTTCAGTGCAGACCTTGGCTGAGTCGGAAATGGTGGCCCAGGCAGGAGCCTCCATGCGGACGCGACCATCGCCGACGCGCTTCAGGATCTCCTCGGCCGTGTCGTGAGGACCCATCGCGAAGGGAGTTCCTCCGGAGAGCATCGTGTGGAGCAGGACGCCGAGGGACCAGACGTCGCACGACCGATCGTAGCCCTGGCGACGCAGCACTTCCGGCGCCACCTGAGAAGAGCATGACATTGTGTAAAGTTCACGAATGAGAGTTTGTGAAACTAAGTAAGAAAGGAAGTTGCACATGAAATATGAAGAAACTTTGCTGAGATTTTATCTATAACAGCCGAACGATAGATTGACGGAAATGAATAGAGATTCCTCACAAACTGGGCCGTGTAGCAAGGCGTCATGAGCATGCCGTTCTCAGCTCGGGACTGCTTGGCGAACCCGAAATCGACGATCCGAACGCCGTCCGGATCGCTCAGCTCCGACGAGAACATGATGTTGGAGGCGGTCAGATCGCGGTGGACAACCTGGGATTCCAAACGTTGCACACATTCTTTTGCTTTTTAATAAGATTTTTTCAGAACAAAGCCCCTTTCAAAACGCTTTTTAATTCAATCCCAGTCCCTGAGTCGAATTTGTTTACAAAATTAACCCTGAGAAAGTCCTTTTCCCTGGGAAATCCGATAATTGGCCCAAACGGCTGGAGCATCACCGCGAAATTTAAAGACGGAAACGTACCTGTTGCGAGTGCAGATACTGGACGGCCGTCGCCAGGTTCGCCATGATCGCCGCGGCTTCGCGTTCAGTTGCCACCTTGTTTTTGTCGAGTATCCTGGAAAAACGTGTATTTTTTGATATCCGAGGCCTATTACCGATCCAAAAGTTCTCCTCCGCGGCACAGCTCCTCGACAATGTAGACCGTCGTATCGCTTTCATAAACGTCAAAAATCTGAAAAAAGGCAACTAAAACTTGTTTCGAAATTGGTTTTTTCAAGCTTGAATCTGTCAGCAACTTATTAAAAAATGCTTCAAAAAAATTGTAAAATTGAGTGAAAATTGAAATTTTATCGAGTCTCTTCAGAGCCTGAATTTCTGTCGATTTTGGCGTCAAAAAACGTCTGAAAAGCTTTAAACATTTTTTTCTGGCGGGAACCTTTCCTAAACTTTAAAAAGAAAATCTTGTTCAAGTTATTGAAATTTTAGCAGTTCAAAAAAGTGAGATAAGGCGCAGACTTGTTTTTGCGCCATTTGGGTTTAGGCTGAGTTGGGAAAAAAACAGGCGTTCTTTTTGAATCCGAACTCTTCAGAACCATAAGGCAGACCTTTTCAAAAACAACTTTAACTTTGTCAAAACTCTCTCCCTAAGATCAAAAGTTGACTTTATTCCTTTTTTCGACAGTTTTGTAAGCCACTTCATCACGGACTTATTCAGAACTCATAATTGTTCTCTTTTTTTTTTATAAAGCACCTTGACAATGTACTGCTGATGAGAATGACGCATGAGGATATCGACTTCTTCGCTGGCGTCGAAAGAAGCTTTCTCGACCACCTGGAAATTTATCTTCTTCTTCAAAGATCGTATTCATTATATTCACCTTGACAGCATATTCCCTCCTGGTGGCCAGCATTTGACACCGATAAACTCTAGAATAGGCCCCTCGGCCAATTTCCTGGAACGTATTATTGGAAATCGAGTTTTTTTCAGAGCCACACCTCCATAATCTTATAATCTTCGGTGAAAGGGTGGGTTTTGGCCTTGGGAATGGTTCGGATGCTCTTCTCGTCCTTCTTCCCATTTTTCAGATCAACCACCGCCGAAGAAACGAAGGAGAAGCCGCGGAAGATCTCGTGGTCTGCGGCGGATGGGGGAACCGCTGGGGAGTCTGAAAAAAAGCCGATAGCTCCAACGGATTTTTGAAAATATCTGTTTTTAGTATGGGATTGGGAAAAAAAACGTTTTTTCTCTTCATTGAAAAAAGAAATCAACTGTTGACTAGGTATTCTCAAGCAAAAGGCAAAAAATATTCGTTTAAAACTCCAAAAAAAGTTGTCCAAAAGACTTCATAAGTTGAGAAAAACTGCGGCTCTGGACTGATGAAGTTTGAGAGCAAATTTCTTTTCATCACTAAATAAGGAAAAAAAAGGTTTTGGTGTTTTTAAGACCTTAAAACTCTAATAAAAGCTGAAATGCGATGTTTTTTTCTCTCTCTTCCATTGACAAATTTCACTTTTTTTCTTCTTTTTTTCTTCAACTTAAATGTAGTTCCATTTCAAGGCGAACTAAAGTAAGAAAGAACTTCCGCCCGGAAACCATATCAAGGGGCTTTTCGTTGGTGTAATAAAATTAGCGGTCGCTAAAACCTAGAAAAAAAAGTGGCTAGAACTAAAACTCGAAAAAATTCGAATGACTTATTTAGCCTTAGGCAAACTGAATTCCAATCTCAAAACCAAACAATCTATGATACTGGTTGAAATCAGCTTTTTAGAGTGGGATATTTCTCGTAAATTTTAAAGTTCGTTTTGTTTTGATACATAATCCAGGCCGCCACTGGATGACTGTCGCGCAAGACCGAGCCGCCTGGAGAACGTGTGGTCCACGCTGAGAACATCAGCGAAGATGGACCATCAAAGTATCAAAGTAAGTAAAGTAAGTACATAATCCTAGCCATAACTTTTTTTTTCAAATAATTGATTGCAATAATTGCATCTCTTGTTGTTGTGATTATTGAGAAACTTCAATCTATAACTCTTCTTCCCTTCAAGCACTATCTCTGCTCCAATAACGTAGTCCAGCTCTTTCCTCGAACTCACCCTTCGGAGTCCTCTTCGTGAACTCGGGATCGAAGTAGTTGGTGCAGTCGATGGTGGCCAAGGCCGGCTTGAAAGGCGGGTCGATCTCCTTGTTGAGGAGCTTGACGAAGTTGATGTTGGCGAAGAAGGGGTGGCGCTTGATCTCCTTCAAGTCAATGGCTATTTCGGAAACAAGGAGAAGCTCAAACTTCGACGCCTTCTGGTCCAGCTCCTAGTCTATTCTGAGCGTTTCTTTTGAACAGGGCGCGGAGAAGAGATTGGGCTTCAGAGGACAAGAAGTGCGGCATCGTTAGCTTCGATCTGAAATGCTCCGGAATTTTATCATTTCTCGAGCTCAAATTCAATGAAAACCGCACGAAAATGACCTCAAACTCCTCACAAAGCCCTCGAAAGATCTCCGAGAAAGAAAAGAATTGTTTGAAACTTGAAACAACTGTCGCTGGATGTGCAGGACACGTGCAGCTGATAGAACGACCAACCTTTTCCATCTTTTTTTTTCTCTTTTAAAACGCTCTAGTCACTAGGGCAAAGGTCACAAGGCATTTAAAAGTTAAATATCGTTTGGAAAAATGTACTTGTAGGTCGAAATATGATTTCCACCCAAACTCACTTCAAAATTTGCGACATCGTATCTTTGCGATCGTGGCCTTGGAACGGCAAATGTCCGGTGAGCATTTCAAACTGAAAAAAAAGGATAGAACCAGAAATTTAACACTTTTATTTGAAAAAAAGCCGACAAAAGCTCTTTTCTTGGGACTTAAATATTTCTCAAGACGATTTTTTCTTCCTTTTTAAAAAAATGTATAAAATAATCTATAATCAATAAAATTTAGAGGTCTAACCGTGAATATAGCTAAAAACGGCCATTTCTTCTCGGTTTTTTTTCAGCAGAGAGACTGAATTATGACCATTTTTCATTGCATGCATTTCTCAAGACGGTTCCAGCAAGCGTTTTCTACGGCTGTCATGGCAAAAGCTAATTTTCGAAATCATGGCTATTTTTTTCAAAGACCCCTTCCAACAGATTGCTTTGTATCAAGTTGTCATGAAGTTGTTCCTCAAAACTATTGTTTGTCCTATAACCCTTGAATTTTCCAAAAACCACCAAGGATCTCTTCCTGCAAGCCGATATCAGTAATCGGAGCCCGTTTGAACAAAGTTTCTACGTAAGCAAAGTCTTGTGCAAGGTTTTTTTCTTGCAAAGTTCGCAAACAGGAAAAAAGAACAGAACAAACTATCAGAATGAAACACGTGTTCATGGGAAGCCTTTGTACCTCTCATGATTATATATCTGTGGTTTCCCACTGCCACTACCAGCATTTCTCAACCCCTTGATGGGATCTGGGCGAGGATCGAACTTGTGACCCTTCGGAATGTATACAATTACACAACTTATTGCGCTACATTTTTTGAAAAAGGAACGCACCATCAGGACGCCGAGAGACCAGAAGTCGGCGGCCATCGAGTGCCCGCGGCGGTTGATCACTTCGGGCGCCATGTACTCGACTGTTCCTGAAAAACTTTCCCTTTCATCGGACAAGAATATTATCAATGTACCACAGAAGCTGTAGGTCTTCTTCTCGCTATCGATCGCCTCCTTGCTGAGTCCAAAGTCGGTGACCTTGATGTGGCCATCCGAATCGAGGAGGATGCTGCAAAGCTCCTTATGTTCCTCTGAACTTCCGAAAAAACTTGTTAACTCCTGCTAATTCTTGGGCAGGTCAGGCACTCAAGAAGATTCAAAGAATGTTTTAGCTCATTGAGAGTCTTTGAAGTGGTCATTCGAGCGTTTTGGATTTCAAATCGTTTCAGAGAGAACCCAGGAAATGAAAGCTTTTTTAAATGTCCTCACAAAGAGCCGTAGAGAGGTCCCTTGAGATGTGAGAAGTTCGGACTGTTTTTTTTCTTCACACTTTGGAAGAACTGTACCCTTTTCCTTGAAACTTGGGACAAAATTAAACTCGTGAAGCCCATTTTTGTTCCACTTGAATCGATATCAATTACCAGAAAATTTTTTCTGAGAAAAAAAGTTCCAGAATTGGACATGAATATACTTTAATTCAAAGAACAATTTCGTGCCCATATTTTTCAACACGTCATTTGCCGGAAATGTCGGCGAGCCAAATTTATCTCTCTCATTGACATTTGCCATTCCAGCACAATGGGAGTGTTTTTCAGCTTATATTAATTACAAAGTGTTCGTATTTTTGAGAGAAGGAATGATGTCAACTGAAAAAAAAAAGATTTTCGTGCTTTTTTGGGGTCGCCTCGTGAGATGACGTCATCGCACGTCTTCTGCCGCTTTTATTTGCTCTTTTTTGCTTCCTTTTTTTAGAAGGAGGTGAAGGGAAACGTTTCTCGATTCTATACTCCAGAAATGAAAAAATTTCAATCTTTACGGAATCTAGCTGATTTCGCGTATTAGAACAACTGTTTTAAAAAATCCATTACTTTGTTTTATCACTAACTGACCCTCTAAAATTTCCTCCAAACAACAACATCAAAAAAGAGATAGGAAACATGAGAAAAAAGCTCTAGACAAGAGGGAAAACGGATCATGTGTTCTCTCAATAATTGATCGGACCTCGGACCTTCGCATAATGGATCAAAAATCGCTCAGGACAAAAAAAAACGCGTTTACTTCGAAATTTTCCTTCGAAAACACGCAGATTAGATCATTTCCAAGTGATCGTAAACTTGGAAAATGTACATAGAAATTGAAAAAAAAATCTCCGAAGAAAATCCTATGAACAAGCATTTTTTCCGTAAAAAAAAACAGAAAATCAACGCTGCCTTCAAGAAAGCATTTAAAATGGTGCTACCACTTCATTTTTCCTGATTATATCACTGAAACCAACTTCTCCGGCTTCAAATCCCTATAAACGATGCCCAGAAAGTGCAAATGCTCCAATGCCAATGTCAGTTCGGCCAGGTAGAACTTGACGTCGTCTTCCGTGAACATTACCTGGAAAATTCCGATGTCTATTACCTAAAGTGGATTCTTGAGCAAAACCTCCGTAGAAAGTCTAGTGAAAAGATCGCCGCCACGCAAAAAGTCCAAAATCAGGTAGAGCTTTCCTTCGGTTTGGAATGCTGGAAAGTTCTTTAATTTTTTTCAGAGAAAGTCTGGAAAATCCAGGAGCTAATCAGGTTTGCTCAAATTGAAAATTTCCTCAATAGAGCAAATTTGTTTCTCTGTTTGTTTCTCATTTCCGTTCATCAATTGCATCTTTCAAGCCTAGAGAAACAGCTTTCAAAAAAACAGCTGTTTTAAAAAAAGTATTCGTTTCTAACTAGCGACGGAGCGCATAATACTCCCTTGTTCGTCTATTTTTTTCAGCCCAAAAAATAGCATGTTCAATATTTCGGGTTTCGATTTTCAATGTTCCCAAGGCGAATCAATGAATTTCGTTGGATGTTGGGCAGGAAATGGAAATGGGATGTAATGTGATTGAATAGTCGGCGGCGCAGCGGGTTCTCGCATTAATAAGTATTTGTGGGAACGGAAGGGCTTTTTCAATTTCATTTTGATGAAAAAAAATTAGACCATCTTCGATTTTTTGTGGTACCATAAATTATGAATCTAGGAAGAAAAAATTGACAATTAGTTCAAAAATAAGTGTTATCTGATTATAAATAGAGCATGAAAGCTATCTGAGTTCACTATTTGAAGCAAATTCGCCAACAAGTTTTCTGAAGCGGCTATTTTTTTCTCAACAACCATCATTCCTAGTACAAAACTCTTTTCGTTATAAAACCCAGTTGTTTACCATAATGAAGCTTGACGATGAACGGATGGGAGATGTGGGCGAGGATGTTTCGCTCCATTTTCGTCCTCAACCGGTCGCGAACTTTCAGCGTCGCCTTTTTCAGGACCTTCATCGCGTAGACGTGGCCGGCGTCGCGTCCGCGAATCTTTCGGACCAGGAAAACCTGGAAAAATTGTTTTAAAAAAGATATTTTTCAGAGTTCCGTTTCTCCACATGTTATTTTTGATTTTTATAATTTTTATTCCCAAGATTCGTCTATTTTTTTAAATCCAGAAATGGTGCCTAGAACCCTTTGTGGTTTTTTTGTTCATAGCGTCCGACTAAAAAAACGACTTGCGCGCGGACTCAAGATAAAAAAACCAAGCAAGTCTTTTCACGACCACAGAAAAAAAAATAACCCACAATTTTCAAAAAATTATTTTCGTTTTCACGTTCAAAACATTCAATTTCGTCTACCTAACTTCCATTTTCATTCGGAAAGCTATAATTTCCCAGTGACTTCCGCAATTGCGATGGAAAGTGAGTTGAAATACTCATTTTCTTTTTCAAAACAAGAAAAACTGAAGCTTGCATTCTATTCACAGTTTTCGAATAAATATTTGCCAATAAATATTTTATTGGCTTCAGAGTGGGAGGAAGAAAAGAAAGAAATTGGCCGGCTTCATTCATTCATTCTGAATTGAATAGAATAGACTACGCTCCAACAAATAAATTTTTTTTCAACGCTGCTGTCCTCGAAAAGACTTCTTCACGTCATTTTTATTTCTTCGATTCAAATTTTCTTGAAAAAGGCGTGAAAATAGAGAAAAAAAGATTGCGAAAATCATAAAGAGAACGGCTTTTTACAAGGTTTATAGAGCCAAGAAAAATGATAGTTTAGAAATAACTTTGAAAAATAAAAAAATTGGTCTTTCCTATTGAATAAAATTGCTGCAGCTTCATTCCTATTAGAAGATCAGCTCTGATCGACTTTAAGCGTCCAAATTTGACCAGAAGCGACAAATCACGGCATAAAAAAAAAGAAAAGTTCAAATAATCGCATTTATTCTATGAATAACATTTTTGAGTTGCCCTTTTTCCTGAAAACGTATACCTTTCCGAAGGATCCCTGGCCGAGCACCTTGAGCAGTTCGAACTGACGCGCATCAGCCTTCTCGCCGCATTTCCGCACATCGCCAATGTCAATCTCAGCAACGCTTTCCGACTGAAAAAAAAGACTTATTTCCTGAGTTTTTACTCATTTCCACAGCTAATTTTAGAGCTTTTCATACAATTTAGTTGACATAACTTTTTTCCTGAATAAATTTTCATATTGAATAGCTCAACTTCCATTGCCACGTATTAATCCCTACAATTCCAACTTTTTTCGCAATTGATTTCATTTTTTGAAACCTTCGAGTATTGCCAACTGAACTCGATACAACCTGGAAGTTAAACAATGAGTTTCTCAAGAAATTCGAGACAGCCGGAACAAAAAAAAAAGGTTTGTGAGTGAGAAAGAAAGAGATAGCAACCTGACATCCCCGAAACCTATTTCACATTTCGAAAAACGTTAAAAAATATCAGAATTAAATAGAAGATGAAGCTCTTTGAGTGGAAAAAAGTTCTCTATCTAGGAAAAAAAGCTCCAAATTACCGGAAAAAAACTATTCAACTGCCATTTTTCCCGAAAATCGAAGTCTATCAGTGAGTAATAAGATTCAAATAATTGACGAAATATGCAAATTCCAAGAATACACGAGTTTTTTCGTGAATTGCAGGAAAAATGTCTCAAAAACTTAAAAAATGACTTCCAATGTAAATGTATAAGAAGTGTACAATTTTCTTGTCCCACCCAAATATAGCCCACTTCGAGTTCAATAATAGAAAAATCGACTATCTTCTAAACAATCAACCTTAACTAGCGGTTCCTCGCTGCTGATGGCCATACCGGCGTGTCGTCGGGCGGCGATTTTCGCTTCGATTTTCATTCAAAACACAGAACGCCCGCGTTTTATTCTCTTGATATATTCGATAAATTATCCAAGGGAGCTTTATCTAGATTATTCCATGAGAAAAATCGAAAGAAACGCGAGTGAAAAATGAACTGGAAAGGAAAAAAAATCGCGAAAAGTGTTCGGAGGAGGTGCAAATTACCATATAGAAAACGCGCTATTTCTTTTAATTATTCTTTAAAATTATTCTTTTTCAGTTTTCAGAACTTCGAAAATAAGACGTTTTCAGCCGACTAATCCTCTTTGGATAATCCAAATGTCAAATGCGAATCAGAAACAGAAAAAGATGAATAAGACGTTGAACTACGCACAAATTCTCGTAAAAACAGATACACGTGGGGACAAAGATCATGGCCGCTTTTACGGAAATTGGAAAATAAAGAGAGAAAACCTGATCAAACAGCACGAGACATGAAATTAAATTTTTTTTAAAAGTAAATGAGACTCTGACTTATAAATATTATGAGGCAGGAGTCTCAAAAAAATCTCAAAAAAACTAAGAGGACGTCACTAAACTTAAATCAAAAACATACCTAAGCCTTAGGTGTCAAAAAAATTATTTGAAATAAGTTTTATATCCCTGTTCTCTTTAATTCTCGTTATGAAAAACTCGAAAATCTCAAAGTTGAAAAAAAGACGCGACAAAAGCTACGTCATAAATGTCTCACTAAATTATTCACAAGAGAAGGCTCTAATTGCTCGATAACCCTAGGAGCTTCTCAGTCAAATAAAAATTACGTGAAAAAAAAGTAGAAGCCCGAGGAAGGTCCCGAGACTTCGAAGAAGTTCAAAAAATGAACGTGGCTTGAAAAACCTCAAAAAGGCAAAAACCAGCACTGAAACAGAAGAAATACTGCCGTCACAATTTTTCCTTGTAATGAGACATAAAATCAATGAAAACTATTCAAAGATTGAAATAAGGGTTCAAAAGAATGGCTAGCTTGAAAAAAGCATTAGGCTTTTTTTTTGAAAAGTTTTTGTCAAATACTTCACAAAAGCCAGAGTTCACAAACTACTCAGCTGAAACGATAGCGTCAAAATTCTGAAACACGGAAAAAATTTGAATGCGGACCAAAAAAGAAGAAATAGTTCACAAAAGCTCGAAAAATACTCGCTGAGAAAAAAAGAAACTTCAAAGCCTGGAAAAACCGAGAAAACTGGCCAAAACCAGATAAAAAAAACAGCTTCAAAAAATCAGAATCTAAAAAATGATCACAATGGAGTGGAAAAGACGCGGAAAGGCTTCACCGGCTAGAATCCTCTATGTGCCTTCGGAAAAGCCAAAAGCCGACAAAAAAGAGCCAAAAGCCGAGATGAACAGAGAGAGAGGGAGAGTGGGCGTGTCGCGAGCTTTTCCTTCATCGTTCTTCGTTTTTTTTTTCTGCTGTGGTGGCCAGACTCGCGTCATTCTTTGCCCCAGGGGCGATCGAGGAGAGAGAGAGAACAACGACGACGCCATGGAAAGGGAGCTGGACGAGCTGGGGAAGCTGGAGGAGGAGAATGGACCACTCACGTGCATCCATCCGTTCACAAAGACGATGTCTATTTCTACCAACAAACTTTTTTGAAGCAAAGAACCGGGATTTTTCTCCGGAAAAATGCTTTTTTAAGCAGGAACATCGTTTGCAAACCAAAAGTAAAATTTTCTGGAATTTTAAGACTTCATAAAATAGGAAGACTTTCATTCCTACCAACACACTTATTTTAAAGTGAAGAATCCGGATTTCATTGCATAAAATGGCTACTTCCAGGGCGCGCCCTAGCGCTACAGGTTGTGTGCCTGTCTACGGTCCGCAGTGTCACAAGTTCGATCCCCGCCTCGACCCAACCAAGAGGTTTAAGAAATGTTGGTAGTGGCAACCCAATTTCGAAATCCCCAGCCATCACGTACAAGGACAGATATGTCACTAGAATCAGTCCACTGATTATCAATATCAGGATAGGACCCCGGCTAATCGACTTGGGGCGCCGACGCCGCTCAAGCGGTACCAAGGCGTAGTAGGAAGAAAAAGAAGAAGAAGAAGAAATTGGCTACTTCCAGCAAAATGATGAGCAGTTTCTAGCTTAAGATAGATCTGGATGACGTCATTTTTCACAAATTAAAAAAGGCCGTTTTTTCGTTACAAAACCACACCCTCTCAAATGATGTCATTCCAGTCGCCAAAACACTTCAACGTCAAATTTGGAGCAAAGAACTGGTTTTTACATCAAATTTAGAGCTTCTCCTAACGTGCATGCCAAGAAGATTCGTGTGGACAAACATTTTTTTTTATCGGAATTTTTATCGGAATTAAGAATTTCAAATCTTCTGATAAGAGTAATAATGATTTCTATGTTTCTACTCCACCAAAAAACCTCAGACTTGAGCAATCAATTTTCTTTTTTTGATCACAGAATTCCCAATATCACACCTTCAACTTGAAAAATATTTTAGGTAACTTCCATTTTGAAATTATTCTATGTGGAATTCTCTGCTTTGAATTTGTCAAAAGTTCTGTAGTCTCCAAATATTTTAATAGTTCAAATCCTCAAGGCTTCTCTCTGGATAAAAAAAAGCTGCATGAAAACTGAGGGACGCTGAAGAACCTGAGAATTCCGACTGGTCACTCAAAACTCTCTCTTCACTCTTCTCAAATTGACCTTGGGACAAGTAAAAGTACAATTTCGAGACGTCTTTCCGCCTAGCCAAGCTCAAGCTACATAAATTTTGAGAGGCCTGAAGAAGCTGGGTTTTGGTCACTCAGGAAGCTTTCCCGCTACTCGGAAAAGTACATATGCTTAAGTAAAGTAAAGCCCAATTTTCCCAATTCTTTGTGACGAGCCGAGCTCAAGCTACAAAGTATGAAACGCCAGAGAAGACTAGAAGGGTCATTATTAGGTCGCTCAAAAGATTTATTGCTTCAAAGGTTTTTGAGCTCAAACTATAGACTACGCCCCTAATATTGGTCAGCGAACCAAATTTCCGAACGGTCAGGTCCAGAGTAAACTACACACAGACTAGATTGCAACCGGTCACTCCAGAGGTACATCAGAATGCGTTTACACTTCCAAGTGTCCGTGATCTCAAGGGCTTGTTCTCAAAACACAAACTCTTACAAAAATTGTGATCGAAGAAAGGGGTCGGTAATTCAAAAAGTTATTCCACTCCTACCAACTTGGCCGTGGCTCGAAGAACACCAATTCACAGCTTCTGCCAACCTAGCCGAGATCAAACTACATAAAAACTAGGGAAAAAGAAGAAGCCGCGGAAATCAACTGGTCACTCTAAAACAGAGTTAAAAAATGCTTCCACTTCTAATAACTTGCCAGAAATCCAATTTTCAAGCCTCATCAGGTTCAAACTACAATCAAAATGTTGAGAAGTGCGAGAAATTCAAATGGTCACTCTAGAGATCACTCAGAAATCTCCAATACTTTTCGCAGGTATCACAGGGCCGAACTTATCAGCTCAAACTACAGCCAATCCACTCATCTCATCAAAAAATCTTGTTGTTATTCGCCAACCGACTTCTGACGTGAGTTCCTGTCCGTTGCGCAGCAGAATGAAAAAAAAAAAATAAATGGCGCATCAATTTCTTTTTTTTTTGCTATCTTCCTTGCTCTTCTCGACTCATTAAGCGTGCAAGCCCGTCCCGTCGTTGTGTCTCTCTTTTCGCCGAATTGGCTCGGCAATTTATGCCCCAAGGCCAAAAAATGTGGAGGTGACGTGAGTCGTTCGGCCGGGGGATGAATGGATGAAATTAATTCGGATGAAGCTTATACACCAAGATTTTTGGGATCCTTCGAAAATTATGGAAAGCGAAATTATTATCGGCACTCCCAAAAATATTTCAAAAAACAGCTTAGAGGAGATTAATCCAGCGTAATTCAAAACTCTTCTTTTTGCATGATGTTTCGCCAATCAAAAAACAGCTAATTGCATCTTAAGTAAGCACATTATAATAATAATAATGAAAAAAAGTGAAACTTTCTCGAACTTCTAAGAAGGAAGTTGAATATTGATCTAATTTTTATACAATTTGAACTAGAAATTCTGAAACGACTCTATAAAGTTGAAACTAAATTCCAACAAGAACCAAAGCAGATCATCACGTGTCAGACGCATCTTTTTTTGGTCCTATCCCTCTCTCTTTAATAGAAAATGAAAAAAAAAGACGGATTTCCGAGTTCAAATCAACATTGTATGATAGAAATCAGCAAGAGGGAGAAAATACGAGGCTTCCTGCTTTTTCCAACAAAAAAAAACTCTAATGGTAATTTCATAGTTTTTGTTATAGTGATGCTCGAAAAAAGACATGTCGTTGCTCAAGGGACCTTAAGAAAGTGCTCACTATGGCTAAATTGAATACACTTTTTTCTATTTATTCTTATTGAGTTGATGAATCGAGTGATTTCAAAGGCTTTGGGATTTTAAGAAAACTTCTAGGGTCTACTTAAATAAAGTGACTCTCTAATGAACTTCGAGTAGGTTGGAGAGTCAGAGTAATAAAGTGGTCATTCAAGTGAGAATCGGCAACGATTTTCTTTAATTAAGTTAATCAATCAATAAATGAGTATAAAAACTTTATATTTACTGATTCATCAACTTTATTGGAAAATATTTCCTAAATGGCAACTAAAATAATCACACAAGAGATTGCTTAGGAACTTTGGAAAATCAAAAATCAAAATAAAGTCCATCAAACCAATAATCCAAGTAATATGCTCAAAAATAAAGCGGTTTGCCGGAAATTAAAAACTAAAAAATTCAATTTTCCAAGCAAAACAAGGAAAAACCTTCTTTAACCTTTTTAGCCTATAGAACCAAATAGAAAAAGATTCGAAAACTCGATCTAAACGAAAATGTGTCAGTTCTCACACAGAAAAAGATGTTCCAAACAATTTCTACCATCCCGAGAAAAAAGGCTGTTTTCGAGAAGAAATTCTTCAATCGCTTCGAAATCTGCAAGAAGTCTGAAGTTCCCACAGATTAACCCACACACAGGAAACTCCAGTGACCAACATCGGACGTCATATTTTCTTTTGAAAGCGGGAAAGTTGTAGATTGATAATGTCTTATGGACAAAATTCTTGCTTCAAAAACTTTAAAACGTCTCGAAGTCATAGTTTATTTTACAAAAAAAATTATTCAAAAATCACCGGTAAATCTCAAAATCTAAATAAAAAGGGAGATCTCATAGAAGATTGATTAGGGATCTTCTCTATGTTAGCTTTAAGTACAAATAATTGATCAAAAACAGAAATAATAACAGTGATTCGGGTCACAAAACTCGTTTCAAGTCAAGTAATCGTACAGTTGTACAGTGGCCACTTTTTCTACGCTTCCCCAGTCAAATCAAAATAATTTTCACGCATGGCAAGATAAAAAAGCATCATATTGATGAACTGAGAGGCGCTTCAGATCGACCGTTTAGTGTTTTGGTTTACTTGAAGTCAGGAGAGCTTTAAAAGCGGGCTTTCAAGTTCAAAAACTACCCTGGAAAACTCCATTATCACCAAACCGAAATAAATCCCACAAGTAAAACCAAAAATATATAAAAACGACGTTGAAAGACGTCACCAAAACGTGTGAGTGTGGGATAAATAACATAGAGAAAGGGAAAAAATTGAAAAGAACGCAAAGAGAAAAAGAAAGCAAAAGGTCTCGCCCACATTCACTTTTCGCCCTTTCTCCAGATTATTATTAACATTCGTTATCACAGTTATTATCATATTCACCTCACCAAATAGTAGGTAGTTGGTAATGGGTTTCAGCTACGTAAAAACAAGAAAAAAGTCGTTATCTGGAAAAAAAACGCTGCAAACACATTTACTCACAGGGTTTTGAACTATTTTGTATTGAACAAATTTTATTTCGTTCTTCAGTCGCAAAGATTGATGGCCGTAAAGCAGTTACTTTAAACGAGCGCCCGACCGCAAAACGACTTACGTCAGTCGAAAAAAAGTCCAAAATTTGAAGCTATAACTTGAACCGCAACACGACCGCAACGCGTTGGGCCATTCCAAATGCGACCAAAACTTCAAGCCGTGGCTAACAAAAAGATCGAATTTCTAGATTTCAACCAGAAAAATCCACCGTTATTTTAAGAACTTCAATTTCCAAGTTGTTGTGGAAAGGTGTAAAATCTCCCGCTATTACTTCAACTTCTAGGAAATGATTCGAATCTAAATTTCTGCGTTTTTTCGAAATTATTGTCTGAAGAGTGCAGTGTGGGTGATCTTTCGTGGAAAGAAATCGAAACTTTTTCTCATTATTTCCTTTTTCTCATTGTTTTTTTATAATATTAAAAATTCTTCTTAAAAACATCTTTGGAGCTCTTTGAACACTAGAAGAAAATGTTTCCAAAAAACGTGCAAAAACATAGAGCCTTTTCCTCGACAAAAGAATATTGTATGAGAAAAAAAAATTGTGGCTGTGACGTTGAGAAAAAAATGATTTTTGTACCTCGGAATGTTTTTTTTTCCTTGTGGAAAAAAGGACGGAAAATCCAAACCAACCAACGAGCTTACAAGTCAATTAATTAGATAACCTTCCATTTACTTCTGAACGAGTTTTTTCGTTTGAAATTTTCGAATGAAAAGCAAATTTCTCTTTTAAGCTCAACAGAAAAGCAATTCAGTCAGTGATAAAAATTTTAATGGAACAAAGAAATTACAGGAAAATTGTCCTGACATGAATTTTACAGTAACCTATGCATATAGTTTTATTGAAAGTAACTTCCGTAAAAATTTTCTCAAAGTCCGAATTTTCGAAATTTGAAACTTTTTGCATCCAAAAAATTAGTCAAAAACTTTACAGTCGTCTTCTAAGTCTCAGAGTTTCGTGGGAAATTCTCACTCGCTTAATTTACGAATTTTTAACCGAAAAAAGAACCGTATCCGGGCAATAATTGATTTGAGTTTGAATGTTTCCGGGGCCGGAAATGTGATGAATGTGGCAGGCACATGAAAGGAATGCATTGCAAATTTATGCCGCAACAAAAAAATAGATGCGGAAGTAGTTTTTTTTTGGATCTGTTGTTGGGTTAGTTGAGCGAAAAATAAGTAATATCTATGTGTCTAGTTTGGATTTTCGACTCCTTTTTTTTGTATATATAACCAGTTTCCAAACAAAAACGACAACAAGGACTCAAAAAGTTTTTTTACTCTGCAGAATTTTTCAAACAACATTTAAAAAACAAGTTTTATATCTAGGACCTTTCTATCTAAATTCGCCGTTTTCCTAATTTTTGGCCAGTTCCACTGCAGAAAAAAATAAAATATTCTGATTTGAAACATAAACTTCAAGTTGAGAAAAAAATAGACAAAATACTGAGACAAATTCGAAAAAATTAACTCAAAAACACCAATTTCTCTTGTTCATTCCCAACAACACAGTAAAAAATGCTCTTGTTTTTCTCGAAAAAAAAATTAATCGATCTTTTCGAAGAACATTTCTCACTGTGGATATTTTTATTACAAATTGATGAACCGCCCATTTCGCAGCACTTGTTTTTGTATCCGAATTTGAAAAAATTCATGAATCATGACAGAAAATTGCTAGTTTCCCATAAGAACATTGAAAATTTGACGTTTACATCACAAAACTTTGACATTTTTCTTTCATTTTTTTGAAATACGAAATGGAAAATCCTATTCGACGAGGTTCCAGTTCAGTGAATTGAAAAAAACCTCTCGTTTTTCTTAATAGATAATTTTTGTGTGAAAATGTGCGATGGTATCATTAGGGCCAAAAAGATTCTTTTTTTTCCAGGTTATTATGTTCAGAAACCATTCCATTATTTTCGGAAGAGAATGTCAAGTTTTCTTGAAAAAAAAACATCGAAAAGAGGAAATAAGGCACCACTATTTAACCTGAACGATTTAATTAGTCAGTGAAGGTCCTGGCAAGATTGGAGAGCTTACAATAGCTTCCGGTTTTTTTTGAACTCACTAGGGGAAGTCAAATGTATTAAACTTTCGAATAAAAACTAAGCATTGAAGTAATTCGAGCGGAAGAAGATTGGCTAATTCTAGAATAAGGTAGACTTCCATTTTCTGCATATATCCTCAATCAGATGTTAATATTTGAAATGATAAGTAATAATTCAAAACCCCAAAACGGTGTTCCATATTTTCCTTCTCGTTCACTCGCTTCTCATTCAGAAATTTTTCTCAAGAAAAAAAAATTGCATCAAACCCCAGCGACGGAAAAACTTTCTATGATCAAACAAAACCAACAATTTTGGATCGTATCCAGCAGAAAACTCAACTGATCATACTTCCAATAAAGACCATTCCATCTACAAACCGAAGCCAAAAAAATTTCGAATATTTTTTTCTTGAAAAACATGAAAAATGTTTACCTTTTTCGTCGAACGTCAACGTGAGGTCGCTGTTCTCGGCTTCACTTCTGACGGACATCTGGAACAAAAAATTTTAATTTTTGCGAAAAAAAAAAAATGATATGTCAATAAAATATTACTAATAACCAAATCCGATTTTCCCTCTTCTCGATATGTAGCCTTCTGGCGGCATTTGGAATGGTTCAACGCTTCATGCTTCAAGGCTCGTCCGACCACAAACTACCTGCGCGCAGAGGAAAAGCTAATGAGTTTTCAACCGCAACGCATTCAGCCATTCCCTATGCGACCACAACTTTTCAAATAGCAGAGGAGATAACTTTTTTGAAACTTTCAATATCATTGTACAAGCGGAGAAAAGCCCTTTTCCCAACTGAAAATCGAATAA